CCAGCAATACGTTTTATCTTCAATCTATCACTCTTCTCTATATTGTACATNTCAGCTCTCAAATTCTACAGGAAATTGAAAAAAAAAAGAAAAAATAATGAACACATGAAAGAATTAACCATAAAAAAAACTTTCGTGAGGTCTGTAGCTGAGCTTGTTAAGGTGCTTGATATATATAGTGATGTCATTTGTCTAGTTAATAAATTTCTTTTCTCCCATCCATTCAACTGCACCACACTTTTTTTTTAAATCATTAGGTTTTTCTGTACTAGTGAAATAAATATACTATCGTGACGTTTGCTGACTCCCTTAAAGAGAAGTTTTAGAGCTACTGGCTCTCTCCAAATCACTAGTAATATTTGTGTGTTTAAAGTTTTAAAGAACACTTACTGCTGCTGCAGCAATATAATCTATATGACTATTTTTATCATCATCTTTCTCAAATTCTATAGGCTTTTGATCAGCAGTTATCACAGATACTGAAATATACACATTGATATACCTAGCTACTCTTAGTGATTAATTTTATACTCATAATTAATACAAGTTATTTGGATATAGAGACAATGCTTATTAGCCAAATTTTGTCATAATGTTCAATTGAATACTATGTAGTTAATTATTTTTCTCTCTACAAATTCTGTTCTTATTAATCAGTTAATTACATTAGTTTGATTTAACATAGAGGATTTCTTAACTAACCCATTCTTATTAATGGAATAAATTTTACCTTGAATATTAGAGTTATTATGTAAAATTTTAGAAAATCTTTGAATAGTTTCTTGCTCTTCATTCCCTGATATCACAGAATCTTCTTGACCTTTACTAGCTGACTCATCAGTTTCTATTCTCTATAATATAAATAACTTTATTAACAGCAAAGGTAAGCAAGTAACAACAGCTTAATCTTCAAAGCCAATGTATAACAGAATATAGCAAAGGTAAGCAAGTAACAACAGAATTCTCACAACCATATTTAATTTGATATAGATCTCTGAATGTCACAGTATCCTTACCTTGCTTGAGGGTATAAATTGAGGAACCTTGACATTAGCTAACAGATTCTTGATAGAGGTTACATCCACATCCTGTAATAGAAAACAAAGTCTATGGAAAAACAAAGAACAAAAAGAACCCTTTCCAAATTCCAATAAAAAATTGAAATTCATCCCATGAAGTGGTAAGTTTAATCAGATCCTCTTTCTCTTTTAAAGTTTAATTGAATTCATATCTGATATCAGGCTATTGAAAAACAAAAAGTATTAATGATAGATCTACAACTTACTGTTGGTGTCCATGAGATTCCATTAACATCAGCCAGTAGACGGGCAGCACTCTGTATATACAACATATGTCTAGAAAATAAACATCATCAATTATCACCCTTAATCACCAAAACTTAGCTACATCAATCCAGAGTTTTAAAATAAAGTTATCTAGTAGGATGATAAAACTAAAAATAAAATAGATTTTAGTGAAAGACAAATCAGATGACTGAAATAATAAAATTATCCTTAATAAGATTTTTGAATAATAAGGCCCATTCTGTACGGTATTCACTTTCATACGGTAGGATACTATCTCAGGTTAGCAATCAATTGTATTAGTTCATCTCATATAGATATATATATATGTATGTAATAGAAGCATATGATAAGACATAAAAATGAAAGTAGAAATTTGTCTCTGAAAATTTAACAAATGTCGAACAACAAGATCTGCCATGATTTTACTTACAAAGGATTATCTGCATCAAATATAATTGGTGTAGGTGGTCTTTTAGGTGATTGCCAAAATGGACCTGAAATATAGTAGTTTTCTTTAATTTATCAAATCATGTTTTATTGAACATTGAACATAAATAACAACTAAACTGTGAATATGCCAAATCTCCAAAAAGAATACAGTAGTCTACTAATCATTGTTCAATAATACAACAAAATACAATAAACTATATATTTACTGCCATACTTACTTCCATCTGATAATAAAGTATCCAGTGGAAAGCTGTGGAGTAATTGTTTGGCCTGAAATAAAAAGATGGAAGATAATTAATTGTTACATTAGATAAAAAAAAATCTGGTAAAAATTCAACAGGCCATTGCTATTTAAGACCAAGTGTATTTCATGGGGAAAATATCTTTATTTCTATAATTTCTATATCTAAAAAAAACAAAACAAATTACCTTGTGATTAAAATATTTTTCAAATTTGATTCTAGCTTGTTCCACACATTGTAACCATGTTGTTGGTTTGGTATAGGCTGATTTACTCACTTTTACTGAACCTTCTAATGCTTCATCATTACTTAATTTCTGGAATTAAAATGTACCGTTACAGATCTATTTTGCCAAAATGTAGATGTGGCATCTTAATTTAACCAAAAATCACTTTAGAATACCTTGATGACTATTGACCACATTCACACTTAAATATGTTAGCAAATACTATTTAAACTCTAATCATCACATGTTGACAATTTAAGACACATAATAAACATGTAATTGAGAAAATTGAGACATTTTAAAAGACATTTTCTCACCTTTATGACTTTCTCTATATCTCCATTCGTAGCCCAAAATTTATTGAACATTTGTGGTTTCTGTACAAAGACTTGTTCAAACTGGAAACAAAATAGAAGATATCATTTGATGTTATTGTGGTTACTATAGGTACTAAATACAGGAAATAAATGAAAAGAATAAGAGCTTTTAAAAGACAACAATCCAATTCAATTATAAGTATTAAGACATGTTAACATTCTTAGTTTAGATTATAAAACCAATTGTTTAAAGCTTACCTTATCTCTAGCCCACTGTATACAATGTTCTATTGTAGCAGGGAATGATTTAACTGTACAGTAGGGAAAATCTTCATCAGGTGGATCTCTCTACAATACCATTTTATACATCAATATTAATAGTCACGATGGACAAAAATAGATATATAATTCAGGTAAGAGATGTTCTGTTTGGGAGACAATTTGATAAATATAGAATTTCCTAATGGCATTTCAATGATGATGAAAAAAAGACAGATACTTAATTTCATGACTATTTCAAGGACAAAGGAATCATAACAAAAACTACCAAGTTCATAGGGAACATCAAAATGTCTCAGCAAACATTTTTCACATAAAACCAATATAAAGGTAAGGTAAGGTATAGATTGAGTGTATAACAGCAAGACTCCTACCTGACTACCATATGATTCTGTCACATGTGGTACAATGACCTGTACATGACCTTTTGTTCCCATAGTTCCAGATTCTAATAATGGTTTCTTATTGGTTACACATCGACTAAAAAATATAAACATTTCCATAACACTTTATACTGTAAAATTCTCAGAAGACTTGAAGCAAGTCAAAAATCTCTTTATCATTAATCTTAGATTAGAAAATGAATGAGTAAATTCTTACGCATCCATATATCTTCTAGCTTCCACATTATCTAGAGCATTCACTATCACATCTTGACTTTCAAAAAATGCATCATTATAGATAGAGTCTTCTGTTTGGGGACAAACTGGAAAGTAAATATGAGGAACACATCAAGAGAGAAATCTTCACAATGTCAAGCTATTTTGAACTGTGTCTAATATTATAAGTTATCAAATACATGTATTAACAAATAATGAGAAATATAGGTATCATCATCATCAGTATGTTTGTTACTACTGTTACTAGAATTCATAATGATGTTTTTTAAGCGCTAAGCTGAGCTTACCTTTATGTTGTTGAGCTGCAATCTTTAAACCAGGATTAATTTCTAACACTGCTTTAGCAGCTGTAGTAGATTTAGGCATCTAAAATATAATAAAATCAGTACAAATTTTATGTCTTTTTTAGTTAACATACAATCTTTTCCTTCCATAAAACATTTCGAAATGGAACCAAAAGATTATCTTGGTGCAGGCCAGTAGATTATTGTAAAAGAAATCAACATTCAAAAAGTAATACGAGTAAGATAAAAAAAAGGCAGAATTGATTGTTCTTATTTTATCTCATGAAAAAATACCTGTACAACATTCCCTTACCCTGATATGTCTTGGTCTAAATAAAAATTGTCGATTGAGATTAGATTTCTCTATGAGATCATTGTCAGTGATAGTTATCTTCCCTTGTTCTCCACAACTTATACCCATAAGAGCATAATTCTTTAACATTTCACAGCCTATAGCTCCGCATCCCACCTACAAATATGGTAAAGGTAAGGAAAACATTACCAAATTAATATGTTATATAATCTATTTGAAAGGGACTATAAAATTTTACTACATATATTTAGAAGAAAGGGTGACTTACAACACACTCTACCTCCTTTCCTTTATTGAGTTAATTAACATAATGGGAATAATGTCTAAGCTAAATATAGCCCTTTAGAGCTCAAACAGTTTAAATCTATGATGATAGCTTAAAACATAAACAATAGATTCATTTGAATATGTCACATAATCTATTTGATCTATGAAAGTTTGATACAGATATTTTGTTAGATAGGGTATTCCCTATACTTTTTTTTTCAATTAAACTTACCATAAATAATTTAGTATTGGCTAATTCTTTCACCTTCTCCTCTCCTACACAGATTCTAAATAAGTCATATCTATCACCTCTACAAATATAAATATATATGAATGAAAACAAATGCCTACAGTACAATATATCTAAGGGTGGATGCATTTGGCATGATAATGGTAATTATCAATTCGGTAGTGGTTATCAGTCAACACTGTCATTGGATTACTTTATGTATTTATATTTTATTCCTTCTATTACTTACTTTTTGTGGAAAGATTGTGGAGAGGGAGGATCTTGTGGAATGACTTCAATAGCATCTAAATATAACTGTAAAATAAAACATCTCAGTCATTGAAATTTATCTTAACATTTTGCAATCAACCTTCTCTCAGTTATATAAAAAATAATCAAGTTTATTGAACACGTATTCCTAAATTCTCAATGAGACTCAATATATAACTTAACTGATAATTATAAAAAGTTCAAGTACATATAAAAGGTGATAAAAGAATGACTAAAAGAATTGGCACAATTCTGCCTGTTTCTATAGACTATTTGTAAATGATGTCCAACCCTCAATTCCAGTGCTTACCCATTGATTTAAAGGAGTAAATTTTCCAGTCAAAGCCTTCAGTGCCTCTTGTGCTACGAAACCTCCCAGAGTAGCACATAATGGAGGTAGACATCCTTGACTTGTAAAACATATAGATCGTAATAACTGTCTATTGATACAATCTACTGGTGAGGTCAGCTGTTGATTTAATTCCTGGGCTAGATTCTCAAACTTCTCACTGTCTTCTACACTCCTACAAACAGAAAAATAAATAGAAACATTGTCTATTTTACCGTATTGTAGGCTACACAGAAAGTGATTTGGACAAGTTTATGTTTTAAATTGGATAAGTTGAGTAGAAACATCATTTGCCCGACATAGGAATAGGAGTCAAATCTGTCCATAGAACTCTTTTAGATGAGCTTTGTTGGAATAAGCTGCATCAACATTATATCTATATTGTGGACTAAAGAATAAATATGAACTTACCATACATTAGGGTATCTATTTTCCTTCTGTATAAATGTTTGTAATGTGTAATAAGTCAGATGGCAAGTTGCTGGAGCCTAAAAAAAATGAATTAACATATGTGATATAACAAACAAGTTTATTTTACTTCTGTTTCCCAAAAATTACAACAATATAAGGAATGAGAGCATGGCCAACATTCTGAAACACAAGAAATTATTGTTGTCTCAAGGTTAATTCAAATTCAAATCCAGAAGACTGGACAAAAGAAGAACATAAGACTGGACAAAAGAAGAACATCATTTAAATTACATTAATTATCCCACTTCATTAAGTATATCACTCAACTACATTTAAGGGTTTAACTTCATATTTGGATAAAAGTTCTACACTTACATCTAATTTACATAAATCAGGGTGTAATAATGCAGGGTTTTTTAACTGTTCTTCTAAACTTTCCTGAAATATAAATTCTAAGTAATCATCTAAGCATCCTTACCACCAAATTGTCAAAACATCAGAAAATCACAGAGCTTAAAATGCAAGAACAAAACTGAGAATTTTGTTTAAGAAATATGCAAACTGCACACTGCTCTTTTGTCAAAGCCCATTCTTTATTTCAACAAGGGAAAAAAGGTATTTTCTTCTTGTTGAAATCTGTTAAGTACATGCTCACAAACTGAAAAATTCATTGAGGTTGAATCTCTATATATAACTGTTATAACATATGTATCTATAAGCATGTTCCAAAGTCATTCTCAATCACACATACTCTTAATATTAGTAAAATTCTATATAAGTTGACTTACAAATTTGAAATGTTTAGAAATTTTTACTTGTGAAGCTATACCTCCTCCTTTATATTCATCTAATAAACTCGTTTCACCAATAGAAAATGTACATGGGGATTCCACTGTAATATACAAAAATATGAAGTAGAGTTCCTTAAACAGAGATTTTAAGTCAAAAATTCTGTTTGCATCATAGATTAGTATTATCCAGTTGATCATCTTGTTTAAGATTTCAATATTTTTGCACTAATTACAATTTTCCGTATTCCAATTATAATGTAGAAATCAACAATAAGAAAGCTTTGCCTTATCTACAGCACAATTCTATTACAATCATAACAAAGTTAGATCCTAACAACAGGAGAGTTGGTCCGAAAATGAGATATATATCTGATATCAGACAAAGGAATACCTTTGATTTTAAACTGATGTCCATTCAAACAATCCATTCCTTTTACTTCTTTAAATACCACAGTATCATCATTCTCAAAGCCATGAACTTTATTATCTAATGTTGACACTATACCTGGAGATCCCTGTAATATAATATAATATTGTACTTCATTTAAATTAGGGCCTATTCTTTTGACATATGAAAGGCAAAGGTTTAACTCAGTTGGAAGCAAGTATGATTAACATCTGCTTAGCAAATAGCTGTTATCTAGATCAGAATAATTCATGAGGTCAGAGGTCAGTTTTTTCAAGATTCATCAATTCAAGTATCAAAGAATAATTATTTCAGATTATAAAGATTTCTTACTTGAGTAATATTAGCTACAAAAACTTCTTTAGGTTCTTCACCATTATGATCCATAACCTCAAATTCATCACCAAAATCACAGAAAACTTGTCCCAATATACCAAATACATCACTAGATATAAACTACAAAACATATTACAATATTACATTAAACTTAATTGTTCTTTCTGCTAAAGGGAGTCGCGGTGGCTCAGTGAGTTAGACGCTTGCTCACTAGCCTAAAGGTCAAGGGTTCAATCCTGGCATAGGTCGAGATGATACCTTTGGATATTTCAACCCGGTTTCCCCCTGTCAGTGATGAAGAAAAGATAAGCTGACGCTAACATGGAATAAGCATTCAGTCGTTCAGAAGGGACAATAAACCGAGGCCCCATGTGTTACAGGCTATGTCGTTAAAAGAACCCTCAACAGTGGCTAATGCAGCTGTCCTGGCAAAATTACCCTCATTGTACCTTGCATGGCAGTGCCCGTCTTCATTAGTCCACATGGTGCAGAAAAATAAGATATAAAACTTGATTTGTTTCAGCAAATCATTGGAAGATTTTATGTCTTAGAGAAGTTGTAAAGAGGTTTTCTAAACTTTTTATGTGTATCTGGCCATATGTGGCTTCTATTTGCATCATTCCCATTTGCAGTAAGATGTCAGAAATACTGAACTGCATGTGATTTTTTATCAGATTTTACAGTAGTTCAAATCAATTCTATCAGTGTCCCTGATGCGTTCCTTTAAACTGTTGAATGAATAGAACTTGGCTCACTAACCTGTATTTGTGGTTTTTGACTTCTACAATATCTATTGACCTTGAGCTGTACATTTAATGGTGATTCTGTTAATATTATGCACTAAGATAAAAAGAATGTAGGATGAAGTTTCAAAAATAATCATGAACATCATTATATACTAGACTGGAAAAAATTTCTTCTATAGTCATATCTACTGGTTATGTTGAGCACAAAAAGAGAAGGTAATTAGGATGTAAAGCTCCATTTTAATAAAGTTCATAAAACATGAATGAAAGATATTGATTTATACAAATTATTTACCTGATATTGTTTCAGGTAAGATAGATCAGTTTTCTCATCCAATTTCTGTGTTAAAGTCTTTATACTGACATAGGGATTTAACTCTGATAGGTGATGACTGCTAGCTTCAGCCCTGACATAAAACAAACATTCAAAGTTATAATTTAATTGATGATGGCTACTGTTTTGAAAGGTTTGTACCTTCTGCTCAGACAAAAAGGTAAAACAAGATGTTAAGCCATTAGAATTTATCTACATTGTCACTTCTTTCAGTCATACCTTTATCATTAGGTGCTCTTTCAAACACCAAAATAAATAAATACTTCTGAATCAATTAACACCTGCACTAATCTAATTACCAACTTTATAAATAATTAATCCAGATAATTTATTACATAAATACCTGTTTTTATTGATGTCTGCCTCATGTAGAAAAAACTGAGTGCCCAGATCTTCAATACTGGCATTTTTATCATCTTGTATTGTTAAAGACTGAAATAGAAAAACCTCTTTTATTATCCATATTGTTATATTCCATAATATCGTCTTGTGTTTTTGTTATATGTGCTCCTCGCTTCTATATGTCGTTCAAATCTTTATCCATGTCAGTAATATAACAAAAGATAATACTTATAATAATACTCTTATTGTACAGTATGGTACTTACAGTTGCTAACTATTTCACACTAAGACAATATATGATCGTTTAAAGTAGGGCCTACCGGTAACGCATTTGTCTTAAAACTAATAAAATCGAAAATTACCTTAACACCTGCTAAAACAATATTTTTAGCTGAAATTACAAAATAAATCTAAATTGAAATGGAAAGATTTTAATTTATCATTTACATGATATTTGTATTGTTTTTACACAGAAGTAATTTCTGTCTGTGCTAGTCTATTGACATCATTACACTAGGTTTTTAAGTCACACAGTTTTTGAAGTAACATAAATAAGTAACAACAAAAGAATCGCATACCTATTTCAATTCCCAATCCACCAACTCCACATAGTAAAACAGATGATTGGGCCATTCTCTTCATAGCACTATCTCCCAAAACATATCGCTGGCGACTGAAAAAACATGAAAAAAACATCCAGCTTGTCTGCACCATATTTAACTAATGAAAAGGTATGACATCTATCTATTCTTTTATAAATTCAAATTTTGGGTTCTTTTTCAGATCCAAATTGTCAAATTTTTAAGGCGGATTTGTAGCAATTGGTGTAGAAGATAGATAAATAGATCTTCATAAAATATGATAATGTATGAATCAGACATGAATGATATGAAATGAAAAGTAAGCTTAGTTAACGTACCTGTAAAGAGAATCGTCAATTTCTTCTGAAGCCATTCTGACTTGAAAGGCTTGTAAAATTTCCTTTTTATCTGAATTTCTTGGATTTTCTATTCTTCAAAATTCTTGATATCACTTTCAATTCTAAGACTAATAAAAGAAAATAAATACAAATACTAGGCCCTTTGGTATAAGATGATTTGTATCAATGATAAATACCGGTAAATAAGATTATCTAATCACAAGATTGTTCCTTTTTTTAGTGCAGTTAATTTTAGGAGGGTGTATTTTATGCCGACTGAATTGTATAAATGACATTGCACCACCATGTCAACAAATCACAAATGTCAAGTCATTACACATCAGTATTAATTTATGCATGTCACTGTCTATTTCGAAATCAAGAGATCAAACTACTATTAAGACAAATGTCATTCATGAAAGGCCTGCAGAAAATTCATGAACGGTAAATATAGAATATTAAGAATATCAACCTATAGGCCTGATACGATTCCGTAACTAAAAATTTCCAAAATCGCCCATGATAATCTTCCTCGGAGTTATCTTCCCGGAAGTAATAATATCTGATAACTGTTCCTGATTGGATAGAGAAGATCTAATTAACCAATGATAAGCCAGGAAAATAAAGGCTTGATAATCGAGTATCATAAATGTAGGTCATTTCCCAGAAACACGCACACTTCCTTTCACAAACCTCCAAGGTAAGCATGATGTGTTGGACAAATTATTTTAAACCTTTTTCAAATACATCATTAATTGTGATAACTTTTATTTGAAACAACCACACAGGATTATGCAGCAAACTTCATTTCTTTTATTGGTGAAGTTGTAGCTTTTGATTTCAGTTTATAAAGTTGAAACAGTTATTTTGAAGCCAAGTTTTGTCACACAGCTTGTTTTGTTGACGTGGCTTCCTTTGCTCCGACTAAGTTCGGTTTTTGTGTGTGTCTGATACGTTGAATTCTGGACATCTCTTTCAAATTTTCTTTAATGCGATCTGTATATGAAAGTACCTTAGGATTTCAATTCATGTATTTCCTCATATCCACTTTTGTGTGAGTGACTTGTGTGTAGACTGTTTGTGAGCAGCTAGGCCTATAGTATTGATTTAAATCTTGCAGTGTTCATTGAATACATGTACTGAGAAATTATTGTTAATTTTGCAGATGAGATTAATAGTAGCAGCTGTTATCCTCACATTGGCCAGTTTATCAGCTGGTCAACAAGAAGACCCTGAAGCCAGATTGTTAATTTCCAAAAATGTTTTAAATAATTTCTTAGTAGAAGGAAAAGACCTCACCGTAGAATATAAAATATTTAATGTTGGAGGAGGGTAAGTTGCCACATTTTTAAATTTTCTATTTTCGCAAAATTCACTTTCTGATAATACAATAGCTACCGGTACTGCAAAATTGCTTGAAATATTCTAATGTTGCATTTGACATTGTCACTTTTTCTTGTAGACCAGCATTAGATGTTCATCTGAAAGATTCTAGCTTCCCAGCTGCTGATTTTGATGTTGTTAGAGGAAATTTAGATGTTACATGGGAAAGAATTGGACCGTATCCTTTTAAATATAGTAGAAGTTACAATGGTTACAATGATGTATTGCTTACTCAGCTCACTTTGATATAAAATCATGAAATTAATAATGCCTTGACTGAGTAACCAACATGAACATCCACTATATTGAGTCAAATATGACATTTTAGGGATTAATGCCAGTTTGTAAATATCTTCTGATTTATTTTTTGACTTTTTTAAAAAAAAGATTACCTCAGATCTTGAGCTGTTGCAATTTTAGGTAGAATATATAATTTTAGAAATTAATTGAAACATGCATGGTTTATTCTACTATAATCTATAAGTAATATACCATAAAGTTTGGTTACATTGATGTATTGCTATACTCAGCTCACTTTGATATGAAATCATGAAAGTAAGAATGCCCTGACTGAGTAACCAATATGGACATGTGTATTAAATGACACTATATTACAATCCTTAACCATATACTAGAGGTGCCAATGTAACCCATGCAGTCATTTTACAACCTACCAAATATGGTTATTTTAATTTTACATCAGCAGAAGTATCTTATCATTCAAAAGAAGATAAAAAAGAACAGAGGGTAGGTATTAGTAATTAGGTGTGGTTAATATGGTAACACACATGCTCATATTTTTAAACATCTCATATGAAAAGAGTTCATTTGAGAGGTTAAAATTAAAAAAAAAAAACAGCATTTTTGCAAGAAATAAGTCTTCAAAATAAGCTAGGATTATCTCTGGTCTTCAAGCAGTCATATATTAACTTACCATATGATATCAGTGCATTTATTTGTCTGCTTTATATTTTTAGTTTGGTTATACCAGTGCCCCAGGCGAAGGTGGTATTGTTAATAGAAAAGAATTTGATAGAAGATTCTCTCCCCATGTTGTAAGTACAGCTTAATTTCAATTTTTTTTTTACATTGAATTACTGTAGATCCTTCTTCATTCTGGTCTCAGCTTAAAACTTCTTTCATATAATCTGATTTAGATAGGTTTTAGCTATTTCCATCTGTATCAAATTGACCTGACTTCTTGCCATTTTAAAACTTAATTCGTAAATTAAATGCTTAGTACTCCAATTTATTTTGATTCAATTTCAATATTATAAAGTAATTTTGAAATGACTGCCCTGATGAGGCTTGTGTATCCCAAACACATGTCCTCATATCCTTTGGAGTGTTATTTGATTTTTCAATCAAAACATCAAAGACATTCTGATCTGTATTACTTGGGAATGCTGACCAATCTATGAACCTTACCATTATTAAACTCTATTTTTCAGTTGGATTGGTTAGTGTTTGCTGTTATGACTTTACCTTCATTAGGTATTCCTTGTTTATTATGGTACAGCAGTAGCAGAAGATTCGCAGTTCCACCAAAAAAACATAATTAATTTATGTATATATAGATAAATATTTCTCATTGTTTCTAAATTCATTTTGTACATTTCAGGATAATAAATTTTAACTTTAACATTCTCAAATCTGTATATTCTTTGTTCTTATATCCTATATGTCCACGTGCATTGCATCATCTGTTTGCAATGTCCACATTGTGAATGCTTTGCCGAGTTTGAGCATCCGAAGACTTGCCATCTTTTTGGCTTTTGGATACAACTTGTACATATTTTGATATGCGTTCAAAGGCTGCAATCCCCGTGGAAGAAATCGGCCCAAATAAAAATAGTGAATTTAAAGAAACTGATTTCAAAATTAGGTTATAAATCTTTGTTTATTACAGAAACAAGGTATTGAAAGTATTTTGACAATAAATATCAACAATTGGGCAGAAAAAAAAATATTCAAACAAATATAAAATACAAACTCAGTTAATATTGGACTTAACTAATCAAATTGTTTAAAAATTGGACACTTTTGTAGCTTGATATCCCAGTGATGTGTGTTAATAATTCATTACTAAAATATACGTATATGGTATTTGAGGTGTAGGGAATAGAACGAGACAAATTCTTCTATGATTTTAACAGATAGTGAGGAAGTTAATATGTGTTACCTCCCTTTAACCACTGGATCAACCCTATTGCGCTTTAATAACACCAATTTTTATACCTTAAAGAATGCCGCAGTTACAAAGATTTGTATGTACAATCTTTCAAATTATAAGCTAAAGGCATAGAGTCGTCAAATTATGAGATGCCAAGATAATTTTTATATTACATAAATATGGATCTTCAACAGTTCAAGCTGAACCAGATGTCCTGAAAATTCCTTTGAATTTGGTATCCGAACCTTATTAACACAATTACATAATATGATATAACTAAAGAAAATAAAGTGGTGTAAAGGATCACAGATTATTTAAAGGAATAAGTACCTCTTAGAATGGACATCAAATTTAATGTCCCAAACTTGGTCAATTAGAGGATATATCAGTTGGACTTATATACCAGGTGCCATGATTAAAGAATAGAATGTCTATTCAAGACGATATTTCCAGTAAACTAAATAATTATTGAAAAGTGCTTCTATGCGTGTTTCAAAATTACTTAGTTTAATGGATTCTGTACGATAGGCTTGTTATGACACCAGGTTAGTCCACTTATGGACAAAGACTCATTTTGGCCAAGTTTAGAAACATTCATTTTTTGTCATCCGAAGAGATCGTATACCTTTAAGAGGTTAAAGTTCAATAAAAAACAGATTATGTTCAAGGCAGACCATATCTTCATCCATGCAAGGCCGTACGAGTCGGAAAATATCTGGCCTTTGATACTTTATCTCGCAATCAACGGAATTCGTCCAATGGAAATATTGCTCGAAAAAGCTCGATGCTTGAGTAATAGTAACCCTTTTCTGGCAATTTCAATACAGAATGTAGCTCAAGTCATTGGCAATATGAGTAAATTATAATTTATTTTTTTGTTCTTTTGAGTTAAACATATAGATATAAGTATCGCTTTGAGGGATATTGAAAACACTTGGTTATCTTTGTTTTAACACTGTTTCAGTCTTTAAACATAATAGTAAAATGCATGTCATTTCTTTCTATCCACACAATACAAAGAACAAATAAAGGTATTATAGGCTATAATGTAAGAAGGCACAGAAAAATGGGAGGGGTCCCCCCACAGGAATATACTTACACACATGAAGAAAAACACATTACCATTAATGGGGTGGTGAGAACCATATAATAATCAACCGTAATAAATATTGTCCGAAACCTGCAGACTAACAACTTTATTTTCAACCCTTGCATTCTGAAACGTACCAATTATCAAGCCACCTATAGTTTTGTTTGTTTGTAAACCAAAAAAGCTCACTGGTACAAGAGGTATAGAGAATGAATTGCAGTCTATGTTCCACGCTAAGAGGATTGTAAGTACCAACATTATGGTTTTATTGTTACGGTAAGGGATTCGGGGAAAAATAAGGTTCCATATCTATACAAGACCCATGGTGTAACCGCATTTAGATTGAAACAGCCAAGGCAACAATGAAGAATTGCCTTCAAGAGGATTCGACGCCTTCACAGTGAATGGTCTAGAGAAGTTGTCAAACTGGCTACCTTCAACTCAATTAAATCTACAATCCCGTGTACTGTTGGTAACGTCTGCGAAAGATTGACCTTCAATCTACGGTCGGACAAAAATTAAACATACAAGATGGTACTTAGAGAGGGACATTAGCATCTTAAATAATTACTAGAAATCTGACACCCCTGTTCCTGAAACCACCTCGGACCAATCATAGTGTGTTTGTCATAAAAATAGATATTTGTAACAATAAGCAGAAACCACTGAATCAGTCGCATTATTGCGTTATTCGCTCAAATCGAAAATTTTAATTTTCCCGTGCCGCTCGGCAACATAGAGTTTCTTTTCCTCAACATGGACGCCCCATGGTTGATCGAAATCATTCTCGTTATCAAATAATAAGGTTACATCTTTTCCATCATTGGATATTACGAAGATATTATTTTTGTGCTCATCTGCCACATAAACAGTTCCATCGCTATCACAAGTTACTCCGACCACTAGCTGAAACTCTTCATCTTTGGTACCATAGCACGTATATTTAATGCTTCCATCTGGTTTCAGACATACAATACAGTTTTCATTACAATCAGACAATACAATATCACCAGATTTGGTGCAGCACAGAAACGTAGCACATTGGGTTAGAGCTTTTTTCTCTTCGGTGGGATGACCATACGATTTGACGACCGTTCCATCATGCGAGATGATGAAAGCACGTCCAAGACCATTCCACCAAGCGGTACTGACGACCATAGAGGAATCGTCTAATTTAGCGATACCTCGGAATGTATATTGAGTCTGAAGACAGGTCTGCACTGTCATTTCTAAATCTTTAATATCTAACAACTGAACTGCAGGGTCATCATCGAATGGAATGGTGACTGCTATCACTTCCGGTTTGACTTGTGTTATGCTATTCGGTGGACCGGTTAACACTCTTTTGGCCAGTGGTTTTCCTTCCATATCAAACACTTTAACGGAAGAATTTCCAAAATCTGTTATGAAAATCTTTTCAGCAATTACAATAATGTCTCGAAGCCAAGGATCCTTTCTATCTGGTTTAAATTTATCGTCACCGGAAGGGATCACCCCATTAAACTCCTTAATCATTTTGGGATTCTTCATGTTGGTGTAATTTGATCTGAAATGAAAAAGAAGAGATGTTTTGTGCTTAGAGTAAATCCAATTCCCTCCAATATAAAGCCGGGTTAGTATTCTATTAGTGGGGAAAGCATTTTGAAGAACAGGGCTAATGTCATCTTCACCAGCTGTATAATATATACACTTGAATACGGATATATGTGACCTTTTATTGCCTAGATCTAAGTAGGCCTATCTGAATTGTTCATACCCGAATCAATAATTGTCAGAATGAAAATCTATTGCATGCTCATCCACATAATTAAACAACTGTAACCTTGAGTGAATTGGAATCAATAACTAACTACATCGTATACATGTATATTCGTTATTTAAAAAAGAAATAATTATAATGTCAAGAAATATGAAACACACAGCATGATAACAGGAAGGAACCATCTAATCACTATGTCTTATATTGACACTTAGTTGATTATCCAGGATTATTATTCTTTGCGGCTTAGCTACGAGTTTTCTGATTGGCTTCGATTCACTTCTTGAAAACCCCCCAGTCCCAAATTCGCAGCCCTGGACTAATGGATACAAAATCCTTAAATCTGTAAATCTCTGCCAACCTTGCAATATATATTGACCTACAGTTAGCTAATGGTCTAGTCGGAGTCAGTGTATAAGAGAAGAATAATGAGAATATTGAGATAATCATCTGACAATGTGAGATTATAATTAGACAACAGAGAGTTATTATCAGTAGATAGTTGTCATTATTCCATAAATATAATTCCTGATATAATTCCTCTGTCACCTTCATAAGGTCACCTAGTTACTGTTATACATGTATATTCACTGTGTAATTGGAACTTACAGGAGATAAAGACCGGAGTTCGACCCATGACACATGATTGCTTCTCTCAGTCTTATGCCCGTCTGTCTGTTTTAATTATCAATACCGTACATAATAATTATAACTGTTCAACACAGGCAAATTATATTTCTCTAATCGGTGTTGTAAAACTATATACGGGGTGTGTTGCCAAGAGAAGAATTGGTATGGATTTCTGACTTGACTTTCTCCTTTACATTTTGAGCAGGATATGTAGAGAAATAAAATTTTTAGTTACCATTATTTCCATCGATTATATCAAACAAAACAGGCATCATTAATAGCCATTTTGTATGGAAAAAATGAATTAAGTCAGTGGCTACATGATCATAATTTGATTAATGGTTTCAAATTGCCTTAATGCTCTTATTTTCAAGACATTGCTTAAACTAATTATAGAGATGGTTTTATAGGTCTATCGTTGAAGAAATAAACGATGGTTTCGTGATATCTCAGGGAAAAAAACTCTAAGACAGTCTTTATTTATTGAAAGCAAGAAGGTTGCAGACTGATATAAGGAATATATTTTTTATTAATACCCCATGTTAGGGCTTCAGTGACGGAGAACCCCACTCTCGGGGTTGTTCTACAAGACCCGTTGACCCGTCGCGGATGGCCTGAATTCATCCGTCTTCATTAGCCCACATTTTGTGCATTTATAACTACTTTTCTATCAAAAGTCTCTTTAAGTCGGTATATGAATGTTGTGTCGTATTATATAACATGTGTGTTCTATTGATGTTTTGGGGTTGTTTTTTACATAATTTTCATCGATTTCTATCTCATTTATTGCACGGTAACTGAAACTTGGCGACCTGGCTGTCCCCGGTCAGAGAGCTCACATATTTAAGAGTTTAGGTCCGAAAATAGCTACCGAACAAAACTATCGATTGAGTAGTAAGACTGAAAATGTTACTGTTTCACCAGACACACATTATACGTTGTCCCAGTAAGGTCAAAAGTCAAATATCTATCAGAAATATGGCAGTGAGCCATACATGGTTGCGGACAAGGCAACCGGAAATACAATATAGACGAGATACAATGTTCGCTGGGGAGTGGGTTGGGTGTGAGACTGTCGATGATAAATAGAAGAAGCCAATCGTATGCGGAGCATACCTGTATATTTGCTTCTTCTATTTTCTGCAATGTCAATAATCCAACATAGTAGGCTACATCGCCTCGTAATCAACGTCGGATACAGTAACTCGTAAATTCTCAGCTTAAAGTCAATTATTAATATGTCCATTAAAACTACAATACCCAAAATAAGACTTACATGTACGTCGAAGTTTTCAGGCTATAATAGTATACATCGTTTCAATCCACTATTTATTTTCCTCACCCGTCGTGAGATACGTGACAAGTAAAGGCCTTGAAACATGTCTAATTTCTTCAATATAATTTGTTTTGATAGCACATTTCATTGATTTTTTTCAAGAAGTTTATAAAGTATGATATTACTTTCATGATCAATATGTTTCTATATGTCTCTATATATAGTGATCTATAATACCCGTATACCAGTGTAAAGAGACAATGATCCCTCGGGGACTTTCAATGATTCAATTTTACATTAGATTTAGGCATTCTGACAATAGAAAACTGTTTCGTGCCAAATACAGTTGCTCTCATCAGTTTGATATTTTATTTTATAGAAATAGATAGGCTTAGGTCCAATATACAAGATGAAACTTTAAAACACTAATTGCCCATTTCCATGAAGACGTGAGATCGGTGAAATTTTGCTACGACAGAGGCATTAGCATTTGATTCCGAGGCCCCGAATAATCACAGCATGTAGACTAAAGCAGTTTCAATGAAATAGCAAAGTTTTATTTAACAAACGAGTTGGCCTACATGTATGTACAATTAAATTGTCATTATGTCTCAACTAGATTATTATACTGTCGAGCACAGTTTGCCAATGGAACCTATTTGTTTTGGGTTCAGAGTTAAAAAATGGTTTCTAAGTTTCCAATATTAAAAAATAAGATATCGTACGTTTCCTTGTGAATTATAGAGCAATTCTGATCGTTGAAGGTCAAGACAATTTTCCGACTGACGAATAAAATTACTATAAAATGGTTTATGAAGTATAAGCTAGCTATTTACTAAAACCATTAACAGATCAAGATTCTACTGTAAATTCAACTAGCCTTAACACATAAAATATTTATAATGTCGGACTGATTTTCTTCACAATTAGTCCGGCTTTGCGGTTCTAACCTACATTAGCCGGCGGCAATGACAAGCCAGATAAGAAAAAGAAATTTCTTCCACTATGATCTTACAATAATTCCCTCGTTGACTATCGATTATAATATTGTTAACAATCCAAATGACAAGATTTCCAAAACATTCGAAATGTCCTATAACCCACGCAAAAGAACCAGGGTTAAAATTCGGGTCAAATAATTCTAATAGCATGCAAACAGTTTACTAGTAAGTGTACTGACTACGAACTAGAACCATAGACGACAATTTATATGAAACTCCGCACAATTTTCGCTCAATTAAAAAAAATCAATTATTTTCTGAAATTGACACCATGAGAGGGCGATAAACAACAAAACTGTTGTGAATTATGTTTAAGAAAAATTGAGAAATTTACATACCAATAATAGTATTCCGGTAAATTAGCACTTATTGATTTTCTAACGCATCCTCCTTTCATCAAGCTAAATTGTAATATTCCTTCTTTGACATTCCATAAATTGCTATTACGAGTTGTCTGCCCTTGCCGGATATTGATTTGTTTACTTTGGAAGAGAAATGGTAGAAAATGAAATGTATCTTTTGGATTTTCGTGATTTTAGAAATATTCAGCTTTATTCGAACGACTAATATTGATGGTAACGTATTAATTGTAACATTTCGTAATGAGTATCACATCAAATAAGACGTATGACGTAAATATGAGTCATTATTGGGAAATCGGTACGAACTTGTCTCAACTCACTGGGTGAGTTCAAATCCCATGTTAGTGTTAAAGGGATACTACGTCTTAGGATGAACATAAAATTTTAATTTTGCTCAAATTTGACCAATAACAGTATATATCCATCAGTGGACATAACTGGTGTCCTAACTATACATCAAAATCCCTCTATAATCCGATATATCCATAAAATCAAGTAATTAATTATAAAACGCTTAATACATCCATTAAGCGATTTTCAAATCGTGAGTCTAGGAAATTTGGTGTAATTTTCAAGGAGAAGTAACTCTCAAATGGGTTTTCCCATGTCCGTGACCTCTACTCATGAATTGACCTCGACATTGTCAGACACATTTTGAAGACTGAATAATAATGCCTCGTAGGAGATTAAGCGACTCCGCAAAAAAGCAATTCATACAATTTTCAACGAATATTAATTATTGGCAAAGTTTGTTTGTATACACAGGAAGATGATTCTTTCCTGTTTTAGTGTTGATTACCCAGACTCTTTTTTTCTCAAACAGAACAGACTTATCGCTAGCTCACTTTTTTTAAAAATTCTGATTATAGTTTCATTATCGCTTTTTCAAACTTGATAAAGTGTGGGATGCATACTTATTTAATCAATGGCCACTATGAAACACAAATATTAGCCACAGGACGAGTGTATTCTAAGACGTAGTTTCCCTTTAAAACTGGTGTTAGTACCGAATTTGGACACTAACACTGTTGGATATTAACACGGAGTGTGTAACACGAGCTTACTATCGGTATGATTTCTTGGATGTTAAATATCACACAGAACCGATCTGTATGGATTTTTAGCCTTAATTAAAATTTCTTAAAAAATATTTGATGATTTGATTTAGTACAGTGGTGTAACCTATTTTTCGTGCATATAAGGATTTAACACCGAATTTCGTCAAAGTTAAAAAAAGTTTTTTTTATGTCTTAGATGTTTCCTCAGATACTCTACAAAATAATTAAAATTGGTTTATTTCGATTTTCTTTATGAATCTTTCACTTTGACCCATATTTCATGAGCAACCAACTCGGCAACTGCGGCAGAATGCGTCACCTATTTTTGTGTACAATGTTTGATCAATAAATATGTCGAGAAGAACACGTTGTATAGATACCGGGTGGTATAATTATCTTCTCTTAGTATTTATCTTTAATATCAATTCATTATAACTAGTGACAATTCCTTCAAAGAACCACGATATAAAAAAAAAAAGTGACTGACAAAATAAGACGCTTCGCTGACACAAGCCATTTATCCCTGTGGTAACTTTTCTGACACCTCTTGCGGGAAGCAGTAAAAATAGAGCTCTCCCATCGTCGCCCTAAGGGTGACACGAAAGGATAGATAGGCCTTGCTTTCACATGTATCCCTCCTACTGAAAAGCATCCTCAAGCCAGCATTTGCCCTTTCTCTCTACCAAGAGTTTCTCTCCCTTTTGTAAAGGCCTATTATATTGTCTTTTTATCCACTTCTTATTGGAATTGTACGCAATGCTTTGCCTCTGGAGTCAGAGAAGCAGGCAAAATATCACCCAAGGCAAAACATTATCTAATATTTGTAGCCTTCTTTACTTTACTGGTTATCCAAGATCTATCTGTCCTAACTTTGTGAACATGTCTGAGAGTGCACAAACACACATATTAGTATAAATAGGCCTACTCTACATAGAGTGCAAGTTCAGATCCAAACTGACACCATGTGGAAAAGTTGACGAGTCGTCATTTTAACGTTCAATTGCAGATAATTCTGGACACACATGGTGAACTTTGAACACTATAATTGATCAGGCTTAGCTAAAAAATTCCAGTTTCTGAGACTAAAGTATGATTGGTTAAAAAAAGTGGCCTATCTGTCCCTTTAACTGTATATGAATGGGATCAAGTCTGCGTGTCTACCGGCAATCTAAACTTACTAAGAAAAATAATATGATATTCAGTTTTCAAGTAGCCCATATAAATTGCCTCAATGTGAATTGATTTCAAGGAACTGTATGAAACCACCAATCCACAACAAGTGCTTTTGAAACGGCATGTTTTTATATTTTAGGACAGAGTACAGGAACGACAATTCCTGTGTCAACTAACTCAGTATCACAGTCCATAGCTATATCTAGTCTAGATAGCAGTACAGCATCATTTAATCAAACAACTCCAGCCCCAACGACTGATTCCATCAATCCTCTAGAACATTGTCCTAGTAATGTTCAGTGTTCACAGTTAGGTGGTGACTGTATCCAGTGTTCATTTAATACTTCATGTTTTTATGGTTCTGTTCAAGAGGCAGAGTGTTCACCTAAGCCTCAAGTCAATTGCACTGTAAGTTCTGACTTAAATAATTTTAGTTAAAAAAAACCTCCTGAAAAGGTTATCATTTCAATGGATTTTGTCAATACCTATAAATCCTGTGAGCAGGGCCAACCATGTTATGTTTTCGGATTTAAATCTTTCAATAATTTTCTTTTGCTGTATAGCTATTTTTTGAGTTTTTAATTAATAACATTTCTTTTAATATAGATAATATTATGCCATATAAAATATTTGTTTGCAAGTGAATACAAGTGATGTTTTTTAGTTGGTTTTCAATATGTTCAGGGTAATCAAGTATTTAGAAGGCAGTTTGAATGTAGGTTCTGCTATCAACTACCAGAGGTTAAATATCAATGTAACCATTCTACTACATGTATGATATCCAACTCTAAAAATTATTATCCACCAAGATCTACATATATATCATTATGTACGGCCCAACAAGATGTCCTATGTTTAGGTAAGTGTATTTTTTCATATGGAAATTGAAAAATATTGACTTTTTAAAATTTTTTTTACTACAAACACCATATTTTACATGATTTACTATCCCATGGTGATATTTTACTACATTTGATACTGACATCATATTTTACCAGATTTACTAAAAGATAGTCATGACAGTTTATCAAAGTTACTTCAAACATCATACCTTACCAACTTTACTACAAACATCATACTTTACCCACTTTACTTCAAACATCATACTTTACCAACTTTAATACAAACATCATACTTTACCAACTTTACTACAAACATCATACCTTACCAACTTTACTACAAACATCATACTTTACCAACTTTACTACAAACATCATACTTTACCAACTTTACTTCAAACATCATATCTTACCAACTTTACTACAAACATCATACTTTACCCACTTTAATACAAACATCATACTTTACCAACTTTACTACAAACATTATATTTTACCAGATCTACTACAGACATTACATTTTACCAGATCTACTACAGACATTATATTTTACCAAATCTACTACAGACATTACATTTTACCAGATTTACTACAGACATTATATTTTACCAGATCTACTACAGTCATTATATTTTACCAGATCTACTACAGTCATTATATTTTACCAGATCTACTACAAACATTACATTTTACCAGATCTACTACAGACATTATATTTTACCAGATTTACTACAGTCATTATATTTTACCAGATCTACTACAGACATTACATTTTACCAGATCTACTACAGTCATAATATTTTACCAGATCTACTACAGACATTATATTTTACCAGATCTACTACAAACATTACATTTTACCAGATCTACTACAAACATTACATTTTACCAGATCTACTACAGACATTATATTTTACCAGATCTACTACAGTCATTATATTTTACCAGATCTACTACAGTCATTATATTTTACCAGATCTACTACAAACATTATATTTTACCAGATCTACTACAAACATTACATTTTACCAGATCTACTACAGACATTATATTTTATCAGATCTACTACAGTCATTATATTTTACCAGATCTACTACAAACATTACATTTTACCAGATCTACTACAAACATTACATTTTACCAGATCTACTACAAACATTACATTTTACCAGATCTACTACAGTCATTATATTTTACCAGATTTACTACAGTCATTATATTTTACCAGATCTACTACAGTCATTACATTTTACCAGATCTACTACAGTCATTATATTTTACCAGATCTACTACAGACATTATATTTTACCAGATCTACTAGAGACATTATATTTTACCAGATCTACTACAGTCATTATATTTTACCAGATCTACTACAGTCATTATATTTTACCAGATCTACTACAGACATTATATTTTACCAGATCTACTACAGACATTATATTTTACCAGATCTACTACAGTCATTATATTTTACCAGATCTACTACAGTCATTATATTTTACCAGATCTACTAGAGACATTATATTTTACCAGATCTACTACAGTCATTATATTTTACCAGATCTACTACAGTCATTATATTTTACCAGATTTACTATAGTCATTACATTTTACCAGATCTACTACAGACATTATATTTTACCAGATCTACTACAGACATTATATTTTACCAGATCTACTACAGTCATTATATTTTACCAGATTTACTACAGTCATTATATTTTACCAGATCTACTACAATCATTACATTTTACCAGATCTACTACAGACATTATATTTTACCAGATTTACTACAGTCATTATATTTTACCAGATCTACTACAGTCATAATATTTTACCAGATCTACTACAGACATTATATTTTACCAGATCTACTACAGACATTATATTTTACCAGATTTACTACAGTCATTATATTTTACCAGATCTACTACAGACATTACATTTTACCAGATCTACTACAGACATTACATTTTACCAGATCTAATACAGTCATTATATTTTACCAGATCTACTACAGTCATTACATTTTACCAGATCTACTACAGACATTATATTTTACCAGATGTACTACAGACATTATATTTTACCAGATTTACTACGAACATCTTATTTTTACCAATGTTACTTTAAACATCATAATTTACCAGATCTACTACAGACATTATATTTTACCAGATCTACTACAGTCATTATATTTTACCAGATCTACTACAGACATTACATTTTACCAGATCTACTACAGTCATTATATTTTACCAAATCTACTACAGACATTACATTTTACCAGATCTACTACAGACATTATATTTTACCAGATCTACTACAGTCATTATATTTTACCAGATCTACTACAGACATTACATTTTACCAGATCTACTACAGTCATTATATTTTACCAAATCTACTACAGACATTACATTTTACCAGATTTACTACAGACATTATATTTTACCAATGTTACTTTAAACATCTTATTTTTACCAATGTTACTTTAAACATCATAATTTACCAGATCTACTACAGACATTATATTTTACCAGATCTACTACAGTCATTATATTTTACCAGATCTACTACAGACATTACATTTTACCAGATTTACTACAGACATTATATTTTACCAGATTTACTACAAACATCGTATTTTTACCAATGTTACTTTAAACATCATAATTTACTAGATTTACTACAGACATTACATTTTACCAGATTTACTACGAACATCATATTTTTACCAATTTTACTTTAAACATCATAATTTACTAATTACTACAATTATCATATTTCACCAGATCTACAACAGACATTATATTTTATCAGATTTACTACAAACATCATATGTATTTATGAAATTTACTACAAACATATTTACTAGTTTTACTACAGACATCACTTTTTACCAGACTTACTACAAACATCATATTTATGAGATTTACTACAAGCATAATATTTACCAGTTTTACAACAGACAACATTTCTCTAGAAAATAATAATTTGCTCTAGATGAGTTTTTTGAGTGGTAAAAGTCTGATGCCCAAGTCTTACTTAATGGAGATTAAAATATTGATTTTATGATTGCAGACAGCTTTACTTAGATTAGTCTTTATTCTCAGTCTCAATATTCAATGATAAACTGATAAATAACTAACATTGTTGTACTAAGAAGTCTATGAAATAAGGTGAAAGTTAAAACAAAACCTAACCATATGTTTATCACTCACAATCAGTAACATGCTTTTTAAACATTCCTCAAATGTTAACAGTAAATTGAGTTTGTAATTTTGGTCTTTTTTTTTTCGCAGCAAAAATGATGTCGGTCTTTTATCTCTGTACAACACACTTTATAATATGTAAACATGCTTGGAGTAAGGTTTATTTTAAGAATTATTTTTCTCATCTCGTAAATACAGATAGTTATATACATGAAACAATTTAGAAAATGTAGGCTATGTAACTATAATGCAATTTTTTGAGATTTCATTTATACCTACGCAGTTGAATAAGGTGGGATTTGTTTACAAACTAGCAAATGGCTGGTTATGGCATTAGATAAGTAAAACAAAGTACTGACATTACCACAATTATTAATATGTTGACATTCTGGTTGAAATGCCATGAAAGGTTAACGTTAAGGGAACCACTACCACACTTATATTGCAGAGGAGTTCGGATTCAATAAAACTTGTCATTTCTTGATAATAATAACTGATTTCAGTCTTTTCTGAGTTGAATTCAAGTTTGATATTATATTTATTCCTTGGCTAAAATTTTCACCAACCTTAGATACCTGTGATCTATGACATTTAGTATAATTTTGAAGTTGATGTTTCAACAAATTCAAAAGTAATTTATGTAATATTATTCTGAAACCAAAGTAGTAATGACAATTGTTCATTTTGCAGTTCTTGATGATTATTTGTTGGTTTGGAAAACTATCTTACCTTTTTATACCACCCATTGTGAACTGGAATAGTTTCTGAATTGAAAATGTGTGAACATTAAAAGTATTTCCATGTGAAATTTCTTATGATTAAATGTAAATTGATCTAGAACTTGGTTTCTCAACATTTTCACCCCAATTTTTATATAGAGTTTTCTGTGAAATTCAATAATGAGTACACAATAATGATCAGTTGTATATTTTTTTGTGGTTTTCTCAAATTAAGCAATCTCGTTGCTACTCTTTGTGGGTATAATACTAGGTTACATATCATCTACTTTAAGCTTGAATTGATTTCATTATTCCAGCACACCAGTATTTGCTTTCATGCATAACCTTATTAAAATACAATTAAAGTAACAATCCCATCAGCTTTTAGGTTGTCATTGAAATGAAATAGTTTATGTTTTATATTTCTTAATGTGCTAGAAGGGAAGTAAATTATGGCTTTTTGTATTAATAAAAACACTGTCAACTTAGTACATTGGTTATTTTTGGTTGGTGATCATCATTGATTGATGTGAGACAAGCATACATAGTTATTTCAATTCATTGAAGCACATGGAAAATGTTTTCTCATAGCCTATAATGCCTAGTCACTAGGCCCTAGTGATAGTAATAATGCTCATCATCAATATGTTGCAGAAATGCAATTTTTACCATGCCATGATAAGCAGCATCCAGAATAGAAATCTGAAGTAATTATTACACCAATAGGCAGAGGGGGACTGGTTGTAGCCCAGTTAGGAAAAGTATTGGAATTTTATGGGACAAAATTATGTTTGTGGGTTCTAACCTCAGTTGAAAAGATCTGAGTTACTATCCTGGCTAAACACAGTCTCTTTTTGTCTTTTTTCAAGAATCCTACGTGTTTATTTCAGGAAGAAGAAGGTTTTATAAAGAGAGAGAATGTAATTGGACCAGTGGATATAAATGGTCAACAGCCTTTATTCTCAGGTATAGTTTATACAGTGTAACCTATTTTCGTGGATATAAGGATTCAACACCGAATTTCGTCAATTTAAAAAAAACGAAAAAAAAAATGTATGTCTTAGATGTTTCCTCAGATACTCTACAAAATAATTAAAATTGGTTTATTTCGATTTTCTTAATGAATCCTTCACTTTGACCCATATTTCATGAGCAACCAACTTGGGAACGGCTGCAGAATGCGTCACCTATTTTCGTGTACAATGTTTGATCTATAAATAAGTCTAGAAAAACACATTGTATAGATTCCGGGTGATATAATTAACTTCTCTTAGTATTTATCTTTAATATCAATTCATTATAAATAGTGACAATTCCTTCAAAGAACCACGATATAAAAAAAAAAGTAGTGACTGACAAAATAAGATACGTAGCTTGATTTATTGCTAAAAGTCACTGAAACAACATAAAAATATGGTCCACTTTGTGTTCCATAGAAATTTTCGGCTGACACGGAATCCGCTAGTTGATCACGTGATTTCATTCGTTGGACTACATCTTTTGACCAGCTCAGTAACAGTTCCATAAGTCAGAAAGGTTGAACAATGAACATGCCCTAGATCCCTGGAGTAAAATAAATTCAAAATTTGTTGGAAAGATTTACCTGTGAATATATTGGATGGATGTATACAAGAGTAATGTAAAATATCTTGTTATTTCAGTATAACAGTAGGTGGGTTTGGAGTTGACAGATTTTATTTAGGATTATGGAGAGAGGCTATAGGTAAACTGTTTAGTTTTGGTGGACTAGGTGTATGGACTCTAGTAGATGTAATATTAATAGGGGTGGGATATGTCGGTCCTGCTGACGGATCTCTTTATATATAACTTGAGGACTAAGTCAAAACATACCCAATGTCTGTCATTCACTGTGAAATCATCTTGAGCAGGCCATTCCTTTCGATGGAAGTCAGAATACATGTACACAGCTATGTTGGAAACTTGCCAAATATGAAGTGAAATCAATCATGAACATTGAATTCCATTTGGTAAAAGTGAGAGGAAGGAAGGGGTTAAAAAGACTAATTAAATCATGGATGGTACATGGAAAATATTAGGACAAAAAAAGAGAGTGTAAGTGAATATGGATTTTGAAAGGAAAAATATTTTCAGAATTTTCAATAGCAATGTTGATTATTCTAAGCATTGTGAAGATAATCTGCCAGATTAGAGAGTTAGTTTCTGATGATATACTGTGATATAATCATTGTTCCATTTTTATTCTTATTAGCATGGTTTATAGTCAATATTTTCTATCAGGGACCAGAAACTGAAGAAATTGATATAAAAATCTCAACATAACGTTTCTAGGCCTTGATTTGTCACATTTAGTATATATTTTATTTAAAGAAAAAGCAAAACACTGCCTATCTCTGCAAATAACATAATTTTTGCTTGGTAGTTCAAGATCTATTGATGTACGACCTGAATTTTTTATCTCAAAATGGTAAAGGATTTTTGAGCTCTTGTAGCTAATTAGTTCATTTTTACCAAATTTCAAAACGTAAAATTAGCAAAAAAGTCTCTTTGAAGCAAAATATTACCATCCAGTTTGACATTCACTTCCTTGAAAACCTGACTACATATATACAATGTTTTTGGTTTCATCAATATAGAAAATTGAATCATTATATAAGTATAGTTTCAAAGTCCGATTACCATAACAATCATTCCATTTAGATGTACATATATCATAGTATATTCTGTATATATATTATAAATAAAGATTTTTTACTAACCTTTCATACAGTAAATCACTATATTGGAAATCATCAAGTAATAATTGAGAATCTGGCTGATTTTAACTATGTTAATTTTGAGCTAGAGGCTATATTTTGCAATCTTTTGTATAATGCCAACCAATCAATAATAAATCTTAAGAGTATTTTCCTATATTCAGGTTAAGTACAAATAAACAATGGAAAGAATCAGAATGGATCGAGACAGAATTTTATCTGTTTATTATGAATATACATTATTGCACTTTACATGATACAAATACACAAAAATATCTAACATTTAACAAAATAACATAGCTAAATATACAACATGATAGATTTGTTGATATAGTTACCATAGAAACCCAATATAATTTTTTTTTCTACATAATGTCACTGCCCTTGGGTCATCATTTCTATATTCCATTTCCCTCCATCAAATACTGGATTTGAAATACAAAGTATTGTATTTGATTTAAGAATGTTATGTAGAACATGTTTTTTATAAAACTAATTAAAGCAATGGAACTGATCTAGTCATCAGACATTACATCAGAGAAGACCTGAAGTAGCAGTTCAGATCATATTTTACAAATCCATTAACAAACAATTCTTTTTCGCAAATTTTAACTTTTATAGGAAAGGTTAAGAATATAGGACTTTGAATGACTATACTTGTTTGTCAGACAGGGGCTTGTGATTCTGAGATATTTGAGCTTACCCACCAGCCATATCCGGCACAAAATAACCTAATTAACAGGTGTGGTAGAAATCTTTAATTCATGAGATATTGAATGATTATGTCCCACCTTTACTTCAAGACTTACAGAGGCATGTGATTCTCAGATATTTGAGCTTACCGGAAGTAATCCATTTTTCTTTTATTGAAATAGCACAAGCAAGAACTAGAGATTTTCAGCATTGTTTGAATATATTGCATAAGGTTTATTTATTAAATGCAATTGGCAATATTTCACTAACAGCTAGCTTAGCTGCTGTATCAGCAATTTCACACAAACTTCTTAACTTAGACACAATAATAGTAAAATAATAAATGTCCAGTATCTATTTAAGAGTACTCAATGAATTTAAATAGTTATTGATATGGGGTAATAATTTCCAATGATCTGTTGCTATGGCTATGACTAAATTCTCTTTTTTAACTTTCACATTGAATAATACATGGTAACTTGGTGGTAGCAGTAGTAAATACGGATACTCATTTTCTGAAAAAAAAAAGGCAATTTTTCGTTATCATTTGCTACCATGGGATTTTGTGTAACAACATTTAAGGAAAATTGTCAATTATTCCATCAAATAAAATAATATTTTCAAATAACAAAAACAATCTGATTTCAATGAAGCTTTAAATTTAGCTTATTTTTTATTCTTTGAGTAAATTCACTTATTTATATCCAAGGCCATAAATAACTAATGTGTTTTAAAACAAATAATCAAAAGCTCTGTTCAGTAAGCGCTGAACCAGAAATTTTGGAGCTCTCCATTATCAAACACTGACTTTAAATAAAGTTATGTCTAATTAAGGATTAGATAGTTTGCTAACCAGGTCTTAAGATTAAACTAGATTTAAAGAATGATGTGAGCTCTGAAATAAGGAAAGTAACTCACAGAAAATAAACAATATAACTATATCTAATCAGATCAGCAACGTTTGTTCAAGATTCGAAACAACAGAAGAAAAATATCATCAACTTTTTCTGCAGTGAATATATCAGATAATCTCTGTATGTCTTGTCTGACACTAATGGAATAATGAAAATAAAGTACCTTGTGCATGTTATTTTAGACAAAGAAAATAGAACTCTACCTTTTTCTCCATGTATCTGATAAGATTTCCACAAAGTTAATAATTTATCTAAGGAACAGCTGGAGATTTTATGTGATTCTACACCTTTACTATCAATTTAAAATAGAAAATAAAATCTTATCAGGATACCTTTAAAGGTAATACATGTATTAAGATTTAATTCTGACTTTAAGGATAGAAATACTAAATAACAATATTTGAAATTCTTGGGATGCCAGTAACAGGGTGGACCCAGATGTTCCAGGTGTGTATGCATATCTCACTGGTTCACAAACTACACTCATCACTTTGGAATTCAATCAATAGATTGCAATAATCTGTATGTTAAGAAAAAATACTAGTTTTGAAACATCGAAAGTCAAATTGATATGCCCTACTTGCTACAGTATTGCATCTCAATTTCAAATTGTTTGGTGCTGTTGATTGAAATACAGTGAAGCATATGTTTTTTGCCATATGACACATAATTTCTTGACAAACAACAGCCATGCATGTAACCTAATACATACATTTTGCATGCAGAAAATCATTAAATAAAAAATCTATATATATTACAGTTACAGTCAATTGTCATTCAATAGAGAAAATAATCTTTCCATCTGATCCCTGGAGTTTTTGCCTTTGAAAGCCGATTTGATACAGAACACAGATTTCCATTAAAATTAGTGGGTTATCAGGAGGCTATTAATGTTTGATGTGTTATTTAATTATCTAAATGATATACAGTGATATTGATCATACCAAACATGTTCCATTATATATATAATACTTGTTATTTTCTTTATTGATGTATCTGTTTAATATGCAGACAAGCTGTGCAGTCTGTTACCACATTTAGTGCACATTGGGTGTACATTAAGTAGGGGGTGGAGGCCTTTTTAGTTTAATCAAAGAATATAGTTTAACAGTTGACTTTTCCATACAGAAAATGACGGAATCTGTAACAGATATTGTCTTGTACTAATTTTTTTCTAGTTTCCATATATCTGAAAACCTTGTGAATAAAATGAACTCATACCATGCTGTCTATAAGTGTACCGTCACAACTACACACACACACATATATATATATATATCAGGCAACATATTTAGATTGTCAATGATTAAGAATGATAGTCATATTCCCTAAACTGACAATCGTGATGGTCATACTTACACAGGATAATCAGTAGAGTCTGTAAAATGCTTCCACAAATTGGACCAGAAGAGAAACTGGGAATCCTGTAGTATTTGGAATGAGTCCCAGGGAAATGGTAAAAGAAAATCTTTAAAGGTGATCTGGCAGTCAGGTAATTCAGAAGAATATGTTTTATTTTCTACTGCAAACATGACCCTGTTGAATATTAAAAATTATTAAGTTTTATTCTGGATGCCCTCCCTAGCTGTGACAACTATGGTTTCTGAATACTTTTACATAATATAAAATATCAGCTTAATATCAGATTTATAGCCAGATAATAAAAACATAATCCTATGAAAGTATTTCTTTCAAATTTGAACTTCAGAAACTGTGCTTTTTTACTTAATTGTAGAAAATACCCAAGGGGATATATTTATACTTTATAACTGTTATAAATTGTGAAACACAATCATGATTAGTAATCCTCCTTAGTAAGATCTTATTTCTCAAGTACATGAGAGTATGTCCCAGCCATAAGAATCAAGTGATATGGGGAGTTAATCAGTCCAATAATTGACTATAGATTGATACTGATGATAATTATATATCATAGTCCAATATATATAATATTTCTGATATTTCTGTAATTTGAACAAATTGCTATCTAATGATAAGATACTTTTAAGAAAACATTGCAATATCATCTAGAAAATCTCTTTAGTTATCTTACAAGAAGATCATACATTCTTTATATTAACGATTCTTAACATTTCAATTAAAAATCTTAAATCAATTACGTTTTCTTCTACTACACTACATAATTTAATTTAAAATTGATAGAAAACATGATAAGTTTGAATCTAAATTTGAATTAAATCTGAAATTATTCTATGAATTTAATTGAGTTTTAAAAGAGATGGCAATTTAAACACCAGATAGATGTCTTGTTCTGTATGAAAATTCTGTTTAATTCTCTAAGATGAAATTTCTACATTTTTCATTAAAAAAAATTTCCATAGAAACATGTGATTAAAAAGTCTTTAAAAGGGGCTTTTTGCAGCAGAATTGGTCTGTGGCCTCCCCTTGGAAAATTTTATTGCCCCTGCTCAGCCCCCCTCACCTGATATTTTCTAGAAACGCCACTGAGCAGAATATATATGAATTATATGCTAAACTTTTTCTTGGTTGAATGGCCAAATGTGAAACTTTTTCAAACCTAAAGGAGGTATTGTTCAGATTTATCCCTTTTTTTGGCCATTGAAACATAAAATTATGTATGAAGAAATCTTTTTTCATTGCATTCCATCTGATGGTACAAGAATCATGAACGAATATGGCTAGACGACATGGTGTTAAGTATATTGGCTGTTACAACCTATAATATGAAAAAATCAAGTTATGTTAATATTCCACCTGGGACTATAACTTTAATATAGAAGATTAAACGTTGTACCTGGCATTGAAATCAGCAGGGTATGGTTCTATAGGCTGGTAGGTCAGAGTGACATGGTAGATATCTGAAAGATAAAAAGATAACAATGAAATAATTCCTGTAAATATCAGGTGAAGTCTATACTAATGGAGTTGCCAGTCACCAGGTACATTCTTCATTCTTCTACTTCTATTAATTTTCAAAAGCTTATAAACTCTGACATGGAAATTTAGAGTTCCAATAAAGGATTGTTAAGAGTTTTTTTTTTAAATTTGGAGCATTGTGGACACTGATAGCACAATTTGCACCATTCCAATTTTCAATCAGAAGCCTGTGGTTCCTGCAATTCCCCTAAAACTAAGTGTTTGATGATGTCATTACTTCTGCTTTAAAAAAACTTGCAATATGTTATATTGTACTTAGAAACTTTGCAATAGTTTGTTTTGATTGCCAAAAGTACTATTTTAATAAAGAATACCTTCTTGAAAAAATGTATTTCACCAAACTTGGATCATATGAATTCAAGGATTTCTATATTTGCACAGACAAAAATAAATTCAGTCCTCACTTTAATGCAGACAAATTAAATAGTAATTTTATATTCTGAAAATTGATCTAAAACGAATTCAATTGGTAAGCAAAATCGACAAGTATCATTGTAATTGGCAAGAATGTAGAATAGAAGAATGGCACACTGCGACCCAGCCATGAGTCACTGACATACACCAAGAGATTCATTGAGAAAAATATTTTCTCTGACGTGTTGATTGTTTATTATGACTGGAAGTTGCATGGAAGACACGTAAACAACATTAGATTGGTAATATCACATAAGTCAGGTTTCTTCTGACATTTTCTTTCAACAAGAATGGTTTCACACTTGTATTTCTACTGCTTCTTTCTACTTATTACTCAACCATCTTAGCTGGCAACTCAAAATATTTCATGAATTCAAAAAAATTTGTATAGTCATTGTATGTTGTATGTACATCAGAGACTTCTAAGTATGTTACTTGAATTACAGAAACCACGTACATTATATTACATTATATAAGAAATCAGAATGGTGCTAAAGAAGATTTAACTCCTGATACACATGCAAGGCTAGCACACCCCTTTTGGATCCCTTCAAAGCAGTTTATTTGCTAGTAAATGTATTTACAAGTTATAGAAAGCTACGAGAAGAAATTCTTTAGACAGTTTGCTTTTGGATTCAATTTTGTCTCAAATTTTGGATACTCAAATCACACATAACTGACAAATACAGCTACAGTTTTCCATGATCGGAATCAATCATTGGCAGCTGTTTCTTATAATTTGTCATGATAAAATTGCTCCTCAATCACTTATGGCTACAGTCAGACAGAAAATATGAAATAGATACAGAATTGAAAATGTGTAAAATATGACTGGGAAAGACATAAGATATGAAGTGAAAAAGAAAAATAAATCAAAATGACAATCATTTGTAGCTTCTGTCTAACATGAAATATAATGACAACCAAATCATCAGCCCAGTTACAGGAGAGTATTTCTTTTTAGACTTCACAGAGAAAACAAAAAAAAAGAGTAGACTGACATTTCCATGAGAGATGAGTTAAGAAATGTCAGGAAGACCTGCTAGTGCCTGGAACCGCCAATCATTTCTATATAGAACACTGTCCTATTGTTATAATTCTCATTAAGACTATCTGTCAAGACTGATAATAATAAAGATCCTCTAGAAACAATACAAGTTTTTTTCATTGGTATAAAAGTAACATATTACAAGTACAGTCAAACTTGTATCAAGGGACACTGTCAAACTGGTCGCTTACTAGAGGTGGTTCTTGCCAGATGTTGCAATCAATTTCTTGAAATTGTTTTGTGAGATCTCTGAAAGGGGAGTCCAGTTTCATCACAGAGTAGCATAAGATGTTCTTGAAGAGTTAGCTTGAACCTGGTGTAAAAATACTGTCTCATTTAAACAAAACATTATCTTGAAAAGAGATATTACAATTTTTCAAAATTCACGGATAATATCATATCAAAAAACCTTGAAGAACAAATGTTGAGAAAAGGTAAGCTCGAATGAAACAGCAATTTTGTTAGTAGTTGAACATGGCTGAACATCGCTGATCATTGGAACAGACTGGAGATTGTCAGAATTAGAATCTAATTAGAAATAGATAATAACTACATTTTATATAGGCCAGTCTGCTAGAGATTTATTTTTAGCTAGCTATCTTTATAATGTGATTTATACCAATCTGATACAATGATACATGTTGATTTACCTAGTTAAAACAACCATAGATACAATATATCTAGTTAAAAACTGATTAATGAGATAGGAAAAAGTTACTGGAGAGGCTTGGCTTAGCTTACCCTAAACAATTATTTTGTTTTTGGGAGTAAGTATTGCAGAGTTGATAGACTTAATCATTTTGGGAAAATTTATAGATGTTGCCTTTATAGATGTTGTCTTAATCATGAAATAAGTTTCAGACTAAACTGTCAAACTATCTGACACTGACAGTTATATGATCCCACTGGTGACTTACACATTTCAAATGAGAAACTAAGGAATCTGAATTTAATCAAAATAATGGAATAAAGACAGAAAATCACAATTCTCTTTCATAATTGGTCTCTGAGTGAAAGATTTGACCAACCTTGAACACTTCAGGGAAAACTTCGTAATGTTATGATTTGACATTTGGTGGAATGAAAACAAAACTCACTTGAATATTGTTTTTTCAGATCTATCTTAATATATTCAGTGGGAGTTTTTAAACAGTAGTGCAAAATAGCTATTGTTCCCTCCAGATCTCTTCAGCAACTAAGAATATATCCAGTTAGCAAATATAGACTATCTTATCTAGGTTGTAACAGCAAACACCTTAGGTTATGTAATATCAAGTACCTTATACCTAATTAACAATATTAGTTGTGTAGATTCTCAGAAAGGGATTCAGAAGTGATAAACCCTGTCACAGAGTGGTGTCAAGTGTTTTAGAAAGTAAGCATTGTTATAGGCAGGACTGGTATTTCTCTGTCGACTATACCTGTAGCTCATTTGTAACTTTAGAATGTAAAACCCTGATATAAATATTAAGTTCTACATCTAGATATTCAGATTTAGAGGACTGAAACATCTAGTAAGAGACTAGTGCACCAGGAGTAGAGGGAATTGTTAAATGTTAAAGTTAAACAGTGTTACTAAGAATAATTGGCGAGATACTTCCTGTCAATGGTCTGAATCAATATGGTCTAAAACAAACAAACTCTATCTGAGAATCTTCATTGATAAAATCATGACTTCATGCAGTAGAATATTATGGTATTGACTCATTATCTATTAGTCTTTACTCTTATGTAAATATCAGAGGTCATGGCTCGGGTTATTATTAAAAAAATACCCAATAAACGTGTAGATGCTTCAAATGAAATATGAATGTAGTCTTACTTTTCTGAATCAGATTGAGCTAATGAAAACAGTTAACAATGTGCAGTATGTAATGAGGAAATTTTACCAGGACAGCAGAATTAATCTACTTTTTTTTTCAGATTTTCAACTGTCAAAAGATATTTAACTTGCAAACCTGTAGCACGTATGGCCTAGTTTCTGGTCCCATTCGAAACCAGGCTTTTTCCACACCATCCCCTCTGACATATATCACTAATAGGGAAAACCGGATTGAAAAATCTGAAGGTATCATCTTGACTTATCTTAGGATTGAACCCTGGACCTTCAGGTCAGCAAGCAAGAAAAACCCAAATATAAATTGATGTACTCCAAAGAAAACCCAACTATAAGTAAATGTAATCCAAGGAAAACCCATCTAAAAGTAAATGTACTCCAAGGAAAACCCAACTACAAGTAAATGTACTCCAATGAAAACCCATCTAAAAGTAACTGTACTCCAAAGAAAACCCAACTATAAGTAAACGTACTCCAAAGAAAACCCATCTATAAGTAAACGTTCTCACGAGAAAACCCAACTACAAGTAAATGTACTCCAAAGAAAACCCAACTATAAGTAAATGTACTCCAAGAAAAACCCATCTAAAAGTAAATGTACTCCAAAGAAAACCCAACTATAAGTAAATGTACTCCAAGGAAAACCCATCTAAAAGTAAATGTACTCCAAGGAAAACCCAACTATAAGTAAATGTACTCCAAAGAAAACTCAACTATAAGTAAACGTACTCCAAAGAAAACCCAACTATAAGTAAACGTACTCCAAAGAAAACCCAACTATAAGTAAACATTCTCCAGAGAAAACCCAACTACAAGTAAACGTACTCCAAAAAAAAACCAACCATAAGTAAATGTACTCCAAGAAAAACCCAACTATAAGTAAATGTACTCCAAGAAAAACCCAACTATAAGTAAATGTACTCCAAGAAAAACCCAACTATAAGTAAATGTAATAATGTATTTAAGAAGGATACTCTACTGGTGCAATTTGGTGTATATTCTAATAATACCAGACATCTGTTAAATATATTACACTTATCTTTGATCTGTGGACATCATAAATAACATCTTTACCTGCATCATCTTTTATCTTTCTACAAATACTCTACTCCTGCCAACTATTTACTTTATTTTATTTTTTTGTTGCAGACTGAAGAGTTATGGTGACTTAACATTTATACATATGTTTTATATTATAACGTAATCATGTGCTCATGTCTGATATACCTTTAATACCTTCTAAAACTTACCTGTCTAATGAAGACTTGTTGGTGCTTATATCTCCAGTCAATATGTGCTCTTTTTTGATACAATTTAAGTGTTAAGTGTTATGTCGGGTAATGTTGTCTGGTACAATTTTAGTAATGAGTTTGTATCTGGTGCCCTTGTCTAACAATCTAAGTGTTAAGTTTGTGTCAAGTGCTCTTGTCTTAATAATATTAAGTGTTAAATATATATCAGGTGCTCTTGTCTTAATAATATTAAGTGTTAAATATATATCAGGTGCTCTTGTCTGATGTAATTTGAGTGTTAAATATGTATCAGGTGCTCTTGTCTGATGTAATTTGAGTGTTAAATATGTATCAGGTGCTCTTGTCTGATGTAATTTGAGTGTTAAATATGTATCAGGTGCTCTTGTCTGATGTAATTTGAGTGTTAAATATGTATCAGGTGCTCTTGTCTGATGTAATTTGAGTGTTAAATATGTATCAGGTGCTCTTGTCTGATGTAATTTGAGTGTTAAATATGTGTCAGGTTTTTCTTGTCTTGATACAATTTTAGTGTAAAGAATGTGTCAGGTACTCTTTTTTTTTGCTCTATAGTTCTAACATCAAAAAGATTGAATTGAAAATCACAAAATAGTAAGGATTTATGGTGGGAAGGTGGGTAATACAATAGAATAATGAAAGGTGAAATAGAAAGGAAAAGGTTGAAAACTTCAGTACTACATGATAAGTGCTTTAAACAACCATGATATTTCAATGTGCTACTTCAAATGAAAAAATGTTCACACCAATTCACATATGAACTTTCATGTAATGATCTGAGATTTATGAGTTAAGATCTAGATGCAAGCCAACTATTGCTCTTTGATCAAGCCGACTCAATTCGTGCAGATATCAATTGAGGACTTACACCTGAAATCATCAAGTTATTTTTACTTTAACAACCTCCCACTCTATATATCAAATATCATGCTAACATGAGCAGTTTCTATGCACCGTTAACTTCATTAGGTCAGGTAGCTAAGTGTAAACTTCTTCATCATGTTTTCAATAAGAGGGCCAATCAATGTACCACCTACACATAGGGATATTGATTTGCCAGTCACACCTGAATCAGGATAAAAAAAATGCATGGATGGTGATTAATACAGATAAAACATTTTTTTCAATTAAACTGAAATTCAGTAGGTTTTTAAAATATTTGTGACAAAATTAAAAAAAATATATGTCAGAGAGTAAAATATTAAAACAATACCCTGAAGGTAAATTTCATAATATACAATACAATGTGTTAAAATGTATGGAAATTCACTGAATAAAAAATAGTTATATCTCAACTCAATGAAAGACAGCTTGACCACACCATGTAATCAACAACATGGCCATAACAATGCTATTTTCCTACATGAAATCTTAAGGTGATAACCAATATAACCATATCATATAATGCAAGAGGAAAAACTATAGAATGACAGTAATGACAGTTGGTCATGTTAAAAAAATCATGTTCTCTGCTACTAGAGTACAAATAACTAGAATGCCAAGTTTAAAGCATTCCAGGAAGTCTATGAATTTGACAAATATACTTAAGAATGCAGTTAAACAAATTGTTTGCTTACATTTGCCAATATTTTATATCAACACTTTAAATGAAATGGGAAGTGACAATATCATGCCAGTCTGTAATAGACTCTGTTTACCTATCTTATTCAATCATGTGCTGTCAAGAACACACTTAATTTGTGATCTTTAGTTGTACATCAGGAGCATGTGTTAAGATGCTAGACAGAGTGACTTCCCTTCAATTCTGCAACTGAAACAACAGAACGCCCCCTAAACATTATTGTCACTTACATATTTAAGGTAAGATCTGATCTGAAAGTATGACTAAAAAAAATATTCTATAATTACCTGATTTTTTCATCATATTTAAATGATTATCTGTAATAAACAAACAGGAAAATAGAAATCAGAGATACTAAAGGTCAAAGGGTTATTGTTTTTCAGAATCAGATTACTAGTGCCAGTCCACATCTAATAATAAAATAATACCATTTACCAACCACCTTGATGATACCATAACAATAGGATTAAGTCACATTAATGAGAATTTCCCGCAAATTATGTCTTTCAAGCATGAAACTGAAATTTTCTTACAGAATCATTAATGCCTGGAATTTAAATAGGTAATTAAAATGTGTCTCCATAAGTACAAATTAATACCTCTGTTACAAACTAAACTAATCTCTACTTACTGCTAACAGGTTTATAATAGTGATTATTATCTAAAACAACAGAAACAGCATGTATAGTATCATAGTTACTCTCATCTTTCTGAAATAACAGTATAACACAAATAGTGAGTATAAAGCAGGGCTCTTTCTTTAAAGTTTATTATCATAACATTGCTATGTGTAAAATCATCATCAGAAGAGAAATGATTAGCATAAGATAAAGCCTTACCAATATAAGTTTATATCTTGCTTGAAGAGAGATCTCCATATTCTCCAACATATTCTTATATTCTTCTATTGAGGTAGATTTTATGGACATGTTTTCATCTTTCATTAAGAATACTGGATTTATTTCTTCTCTGTAATAAAAGAAGTTGATACAAACATAAGTCCATTTATATCTTGGTTCTTCTACTATTTTGCATCAAACTTGGCCAATCAAGATTTCCAATTTCAATTTCTGATCTGGCAACAATAATAACTATCCAGGCCTTATTTCAAACTGTAAGATATCTTTAACAAGCACTGCCAATAGAGGCTATTGAGGGTTTTATGATCATGAACTGTTTACTATAGAAGGTATTTCAAAGCAGCATTCAAAATGGACAATTACCTTTCCCATACAAATAATGATTCTTCTACTGGAATGATTTTTGCTTTATCTTTATCAGTCATAGATCCTGTAAATATAAAGTATACTAATGATTCAACTTTAACATCCACACACAACAACCATTGCTACCACAATGTCAAATTTTAATGCTTACTTAAATATGTTCATATTATTTTCATTATTGTCAAATGGAATAGCACCATATAGTCTTGCCTTATATCTAACCAAAAATGTACTGAATTGAGTCTTCAAATTGAAACCTCACCTGGTAATAATGAGGAGAAATTTTGTCCTGTAACTTTACCACTTGGTACCATATCACTTAATACACTGTGAATCTAAAATAGGTATTAAGGTCAGGGAGTTATTTATAACATAACATAATCATTTTGAAGTTTCTCAATTAAATATTATTGTCTCGTATTAGATAGAAAAGGTTTTTGGGCATTTTACTGTGAAAACCAGTTATCTTATATAAATATATCTACAAATATATACCTCACAACAAAATAAATGTGATCCCAGTCAAACGTAAAGCAAAATCTGCCATTACATGTGTTAAAACTGATTACGTGGTTATCCACCGAGACACAAACATAATAATGAATGTAAAATCAGGTTTCATTGCCATTCTGTTCTAAAGCTATAACCATATACCTTTTTATCAGCAGCATTTGTTAATAAAGCATAATAGAACCTTCCTTTATCTTTAATATCTGTATCATTACAATATACCATTATATCATATAGTAACTCTCCTAATTCTGTACAAGAAAAACATCAAGATAATATTAAAATTATGAAGTTTCAAGTCATGTACAAAACTACCATTTTATTTACCAGTATAACTACTTAGTTTCACAAGGATCATGTCTTCCAGTTATTCCTTGGCTGAACCTCTTAGCATTGATCTTAAAGCTAGTTTGACTGGAATAATGGAGAGATGACTTATTCAAGGTTTGCAGCCCTTAAAAACATGAATAATAAGTACAGATGACCACTATACCAAGTATATGTTATTAAATTCCAATGCTCCAACAGTGCTACAAGTCATCTGTACACAGATTAACCACTGCTCAGCTCCACATATTTAGGTCTTGAAATGTTAACAAAACTATTTTAAGTTAACGATTTAATGCAAATCCCAAAAAAATCAGATCTATACCAACCTGAAAATACAGTACTTGTATCTTGAAATGTTAGTATGTTTCTACATATTGATAGTATACTATTACCAAAATACCAGTCACAAATATCATTACGTAATGAATAATCTAATAAACCATTTAAATATTTTACTGTCGTCTGCAAACAAATTGAAATATCAAAACATTATGAGTCAAACAAAAGATATCTTACAAGACAAAGCTCTTATTTCATAGTTCATATAAGAAACTCAAAATATTTTACATTTTGACATTGTAAAGAATTAATAGTGAAGTATATGTTTCCTACTGTTTTACTGTTTTAGTCAAAAGACTTTTTGAACTCCATAATGTGCTCCATTTTGAGATATGCCTCACTTGTCATGTGTCACTTGAAAATATGTCAAATATAAGAATAGGTTTATGTATTAAGGTACTCACAGCTTGATTTAACTGTTTCTCTCTAGCTGATGTTTGAAAGACTTGTAAATAAAACAAATACTGATTGAAAACATCTTGATAAGATATGGATAATACTGACTGATGTAAGGTAGATAGTATATCCATATATACTGAACTGAAATAAACATAACAAAAAATATTACCAAAGATACAGTTTGTATTCCAACAATAAAATCATCTTCATTTGAAATATTACCATGTGCACAAAATGCGCAACTGAGTAACTTCAAAAGTTCTACTCTAGTTTTTTTTTTCAAATCCCATTATTCTATACTAGCTCACCAATGTTAAGCTAAAAAGAGGCTTATCTACAAAATTTTTCATAATTCTCAGATCAAAATGTCAGTGAATTAAACTCATTTGTTTCTTACCTATCTGGATTTGACTCTCTGATGCAGCGTAAAAAATCTAAAACTAATGGAATTAAGGCAGGATATCTTCCAAGTAATTTATGGGTAATTCTGAAATAAAGTGAAGTGAGCCATAGTTTAGTACAAATCAACCAATGTATATCCTCTATATAAGCCAATTTAAACTCTATTTATCTCACCTCCATTATAAGCTCTATATAAAGCTAGTTTAACCTACCCTTGTATAGTTTGTACTAGATATTGTGAAGGATGTTGGCTGTAGAACAAGTAAAAAGCTTTATATAAAGCTAAAGCTGGTTTATGTCTACCAGTTGTTTCTGTAAGTTGCTGTATTTCCTGAGTCTGTTTTATCAAATTATTGTTAAAATCATCACCTAAAGAAACAAAGTATTTGTTTGCAGATGAAGAGACAATGGACAGTCCATTACATTTACATAAGGATTAAAATCTTGATTTCCTGCCCTCTTGTTCTGAGCCCTTGACAAACAATTTGGCATTAATCTGAGCCAATTCATCTGTATTGATAACTATTCTAAAGATGAATAGGCCAGACTGATGAGGAAATATTGAAGATTTCAGCAAACAAACTTATCTATATTTTGAACTGATTCTTTCAATGGTATAGACATCTATTAATTATTTTGCTGAGCAAATCTCTCTTATTAGGATAATTTTCTTAGAATCCCTGCATCTTTTTGTTACCTCTCTAAAAGAAAGGCTCACCTTGATCTTCTGTTTTACTTCTACATAACAATGAGAGTTTTCCAAATTTTAACTCCAGACTGTCAAACACTGATGGATAAAATTCTTGTTGGAAATTTTGACAAACAAAATCTGGAAGCTTTTTATTACCATTCTCATCTGAATCCTACAAATTAAAAAACATAACAATGAATGTATGCAGAAAACTGAATAATTGACCAATCAAAACCCAAAAATAAATCAGTATGTAGTAGACATTACAAAACTGCAATTTGTGCATAGGCGGATTAACCTATAGGCAAACTAGGTAGCTGCCTTTCAGCCCATGGAAAATTCGGCTTATGACAAATTTTGTAACAGTAAAAATTATCAAACACTTAATAAATTTCTGCAGGCCCATCGAAAATTGTCCTACTAGGAGCGTAATGTGTGAGAATCAACTAAATTGTTTGCGCCTAATGGTGATGAATGCCTATATCCTGCATACGATTGATGCTGATGAGCTGATTGATCTGTTCCTAAAAAAAAAACCTTTTAAGCATTGTCTTTTACCTGATTGTATGCTTTTAACCACTGTATGTTTAACAATCGTTGTGCAGGACTTAATGAAGGGTAATTAATACCAAGTATTAATCTATGTAGTAATTTATGTTCTTCTTCAGTGCTCAATATTTCTCCTTTAAATTCTTTCTGAAAACAGAAATAATGTTCATTCAAATAGCTTCTACTCCACAAAGGTATCAATATTATGATTTAGTAAACAGCCTTTTATAGCAAGACAGCTTAAAGCGCATAGATCAAATGCTCTAGAAATATAACAGGAAAGGAAATGAAATGAGCTGAGCTGGAGATTTAAATATATACATTTTGCATATGACTAAGACACTTCTGTATAAGTAACAAAAATATTCTGTTTCAGTACCAAAATTCTTTACACCTCAACTCAACATGCCGAGTCAACGATACTTTCACAGTTGTTTGAGGGGAGTATTCTATGAAGAATGAAAACTGGGAAGTTGATTTAGGTTTGTAATTAATGTATTAAACTGTAACACCTACCTGTAGGTACAATACAATATGAAATATCACAGGATCAAAGGTTGCCATGTGATGTAACATAAATGGTTTGAATATCTGCAATTTACAATTAACAAAAAGGATATCAAATTAATCATACACACTAGATTTCCATATAAGGTTTTAATTGTTTTTTTTTTTTTGTTTTGAAGAACTTAAAAGTTTAAGTGATTTTAGAGTTATGATATTAACATCTTTCCAGACTAATTTAGCAGCAACTTTCATGGATATGTGCAAAATACCATGTGGTGTGAATTAAACTCTCATAAAGAAGTACACACCTATTGTGGTATCTGTATCATATATCATGAAATAAAGAATGGAGAGAGATTGAAACTCCACAAAATGCCGACCTTCAAACAATGGCATCAAGGCGTTAATAAGAGTAAACAAAAATGTACAAATGAAATGCTGTTTCTGACTATTTCCAGAATCTGAGATGCTTAAACTTACAATAGGAGATATAGACGTATTATGTTTTATCACTTCTACCAATGGTAGGACTATAGACCACAATCCAACAGGTGTCATTAATGCAATATTTTCCATGATATATGATACTGTTGGTAGCAATTCCTTTTCTGTGCTGCTTTGAGGACTTGTTTCTCTTTCACTAAATTTTAGAAAAAGATAGATATATCAAATTGCAATTATTATGACATTTATCTAAAATAAATTGTTGAGAAAAACCGCTGACAATTAAAAGTTTCCATAGGTCATCATCCCTTTTTATTCCACTTGACCTAAAATGTCGTGGGGTATTGACAGTTGACTGTTTGACTGGTGAAAAAAAGTTATAGAAGGTTTATGGTGCAATGAAAATATCTGATAGGAGACTAGGGTTCTTTAACTGTGTATATTTTAAATAGAAAAAAAAACAAACCTGTTACAAGATTCCAGAACAGTACAAAGTAATGTGGAATAGTCCTGATGAACATAGGTTTTTTCTTGTCTTGAAAACTTCTCAATATCATCTTTATATTTTACTAATGTTCCCTGAAAACATGAGACAAGGATACACACCAAGCTACTGTGCTGAGTCAATAAACCTGACTGGCCTCATTCTGTTTTAAATAAAACAAAATGATTTCTTACAGTAATTTCTTATCCAAGATTTCTTTGGTCATGGTCTCTAATAAAGAATTTTCAAAGGATTTACATATATTTGATGCTGTCTTGTTGAACCTTTCACCTATAGCGAGGGAAGACAAAAGTAAAGGGGAGATAATTTATATTGACTTACAGAATAAAATTGTTCTATTTGGTTTAAACATTGACAGCAACAGCCTCTTATTCTTCTACTTGGTACATGATTAACTTTACTGATTACTTCAAATAGTCTCTTTATCACATTCTCCCCTATAGTTTTAATCTGGAATGAAGGAATGAATGCACAGATGAGTGAGTGAAAAAGCATCTACCTCAGGCTGCAACTACATGTTTAAAAATCTGAGTTTCTATTCTAACATTTGAACTATGGTAGCAAACTAAGAAACTTAAAAAAAAAACCTTCCTCATTTGTAAGGAAATGTTCATAAATACCTGTACATTTTCCCAAATGCAGTTTGAAAGTAAGCAATATTTGATGAATTAGAGGAAAAAAAATCTCACCAACAACTTCTTAAGAAGAACAATAGATGTTAAAGTTATCAATAGCTGAATACAGAAATTATGTGTATCTTCTCTATTTACATTCTGATTAAAAACATCTAGTAAAGAGGAAACAACTTGTTCTGCACTGAAAATTAAGGTACGGTAAAGGTTATAACAGGTTTGAAGCTTAGTCTGCATTTATTCTCTATTGATAGGGACTGCAAGCAGAGGATTTTATTACGCTTGCTAATTATAGGATCCAAAACCATCAAAAAGTCTACGCTTACAAGTATCTGAGAAAAGAAAACAATTCATTGTAATGTGTGTAACTGTGTGCTATGCTATTATGCTATTGAAGGTAGCCTACATTAAGGTAAGAGCTACCAGGAAATGCACAGTTAGTCTACCTTGAAGGAGTTAATGCTGAATATCCATATTCTTCTAAGGATAAAACCAATTCTGTTTTTATAACTTGGTCAACACTGTCTTCATACACAACCTGAAATAAATTAACTTTCTGAAAATACACCGAACTTCTTGTGGTCTGTAGCCAATAAATTTACAAAGGGAAGTAATCCAGCCCATAACTATTTTTTAATGTAACTTCACGTTGCATTTTTGACAATGATCATATTCACCTTCAACAGATCAAGAATAAAATTGTCATCACTGAAAAGTTTGTCAGAATCACCATGGGCTATGTACTGCCTGATTTTGGCAATAAAGTTTTTAAGTTCAGGATCTCGGTTCCGCCCTCCGGAGGCGGCCATATTGTAAATATTGAAGGTTTGATCATCAAGACACACGAATAATTCTATTGGCTTTTGATGTAATTCTAAAGTTTTTTATTAAATTAATTTGCAAAAACATTATTATTTGTTGTGTGCTGAAGGATAACTTTAACACACACTTTATTTTCCAAGAAAAAAAGTATTTGTGAGTATTTTAGAGTTACCCAGATTTAAAATGCTACAGACAACTTTTACATTTCACATTAAAACAAAAACAAGGGGACACTACTCTGTCGATCATTTCTGACTGAAAGGTAATAAAATGAATTTCGATTCTGTAGATAATGTGACATCTTATGGGTCAATAACGGAAAGGGCGATAAAATATTCTCTCAGTCGCTCACTCAACTTTAAACGCCTATTTTGAAGAATCCATGAAACAAAATTATGTTGTCTTAAATGAGTTGCTCCGTAGCCTACATTTCAAAAAGATCTATCCACTCACGATTTTATGCTTTTTTTTTATGAAACTTAATCGAGGTTTCTAACTAGATTCCTAGTTGTGCTAAATATTAATCGTGATTTTGAACCGTTTCTGATATTAATTTAATTAGTGTATAATTGTGAACGCAATGTGGAAAACTCATTTCATTTCTAGCGAAAGCAATTTATTTACGATAATCTTACGAAACGGTCACATCAATGTCGGGTAGGCCTAAGCTATTTTTAGGTGTAAACACAAGCATACGTATTGAACTGGAATATTATTGAGAAAGTAATGGTTTGATGTACATAATAGAAATCGATTAAACTACATACAGATATTTGACCGGCCTTGACTCATTGACTATACACCCGACGGAAATAGGTTTTAATCATAATTTTATCACACTTCTAGTACGGTAATATATGCACCACCGTAGGATGTAAAGGTGTACCCTTTGCCCTTTTTCTGCAACATTGAATGTTGATCGAAGAGCTTTCTCAACAGGAAGAGGTAATCGACACCAAGTCGATACACAAAAGCTTATCAAGGACAGATACCGGTACTAGTAATGATATTGGCCACACTTTTCTATGTTTCTTATGTTTATGTAATGTTAAATTTCGCATTCAAGGGTCGTCACGGTCTGATAATGCTCCATTGATATTTTGTTGTGAAACTCTCATAGAAAACCGGGGGTTAGTGAACCTTAGATAGTTTAACCTGGAGGAAGTTACAAGTATGTTTTATTATATTTATAGATAAATACTAAACAATTATGAACACGTGAAATATAACTGGATTTATACCGGTGTACAATAAAGGATAAGCGACAGTTATTCAATTAGAAAACATTCTGGTCACAGAAAACTACAATAGTTCTAGTTCTAGGAATAGTTCTCTGTAGCTTTGAACATCCATGTTGGTGTTGCTTTATATATGCTAGCTTCAAGGATATGATAATTTATTGAGTAAGGAGTAAACATCTTGTTCTGCACTGAAAATTAAGGTAAATGTTATAACGGGGTTGTAACCTAGTCTGTAATTAACCTCTATGAGGATTTCATTACAAAGTAAAGGCTATACACCATGATTGAACTCGAACAGTAAACAATAGATTTTACTTGTCATAGTGAAAATGCAATATTGTGATAATCGTATTGGTAAATGTGTATTGGGTGCGTACACCGATATGCAAATAATTTCCTGTGATGAGATTGAGAAAGGATTGAAATGAAAACACAGTAAAATTTGAATACATTAAATGACAGCTGTTCATTTGTAAACGTAGATACACAGTGTTAAGAATTCTGATTTGAAGGAAGGATAACAAATACATTCACTGTAATGGCGTTAAGGAAAAGTAAAATATATAAACTGATAACCAATGGAACGAGAGAGGCCTTGATAAAGGGTATGCAGGAGTATCTACTTAGTGGGAAAAGTCCGAATTTGAAAGATCCGGAAACTGGAGGGACCTTGCTTCATCATATTGTGAATCATTCGGAACGATTTCGGGATCCGGAAACATTGACCATTGTGTATATGTTAGCCTGTAAAGACGTGGAAATAGATGCTCAAGATAACTATGGTGACACGCCCCTTCATAAAGTTGTTAGAGTTAATGGTGCTCACAAATTGTTGATAGCTTTCATGAGGTATGATATATGTTGTGTTCAGGGTTCCATACCAACCTCTTTTACTCTCACCCTCTTAATTTTGCTGTTTTTAAAAATAGACCAAGGCCTTCACATTTTCTTACAACTTAAAGATGGATTTCCTTATTTTCATTTATGAAATGTTTCAGCTACATACAGCTGAATTAAGTTTTGTTTCTGTATCCAATGTAATAACTAGTGGATCTAATTTTGTGGGTTTCAACACTTTCTGAAGAAAGAACATATTTATCACTTATGTTATGTTTATGAAAATGAAAATGCTAATACTTATATGAATAAAAAATAGAGGTGTTCTTATGACTTGGAAAAATAGGCTACCAGTTTGTCTCAATTAGCTAAATTATAAAACAATTACAAGCGGTATAATGAGTGTCCGATCAAGAAAGGTCAACAGTTTTTTGTTGTGTTTATCCAGACTGTACATACATGGGTATTTATGATTGGTTAAAACTCTAAATTACGTTCAATAAGAACATAATGATATGATTAAAAATATAATTCATTAGAAACACCAATTAATCTAATAGTTTGCTTAATTTGACACCAAAGAAAATAAGGAAATCCATCTTTAAATAGCAAAACATGTCAAATTACGATCGTCAACACGAGAATACTTCAAATGACGAAAATAGCAATAATAGCCGCCTTTAAAATTAACGTTGTGTTTTACAAGAAATAAAATTCATGAAATTGGAGTTGAAGAGGTTTCACTTAAATGTCTGATATCGATTCACATGGTTCGGATAGGGAGGATTTATCATAAAAAATGGCAGCACATTTTTACTGTAGGGTGTGTGTCTTTAGCTTGGATTTGTCAACTACATGACAGTGTTATTTTTTTTATCCTGAAAAGTGTCGATAAAACACGACATGTACATGTTAACATTATGATGACCGATTTGGCCTGTTTTTTGATGCATCATGAAGTATTACTCAAGTCTAATAATAATCAGTGACTTAACTCTAATGTATTTCCTTTCTCTCCCTTAACCATGGCCTAATTTCTTGTCATGACTCTAATAGACTGAGGTATTCTCAAAATTCCTGAATTGATTTCCTTTTTTTTTTAATTCCGGCTGTAGTCTATCTTTGTGAAATTAATTAAAACATTTTTCTCTCATTACTCACTTATTATATTAAAAGATTCTGTCGCTTTCAATTCGATAGCAGTCTCTAACGTTTGTACTGCTATGTGAGTAAAAAAAAAGTACCTTTTACTGTAGACATCAAATAATTACAGGTATATTATAGTTTATATTGGCCAAACCCTTTGTCATTTATTTTGAAGGTAGCCAACAGTGATGGATATCCTACCCTCTCCAATTCATTACAAAAATATTCCACTAATTACCTTTATCTAATTAAGCTAAATCTTACATAAATATTGTTGAAGAGAATTAGGGATGAAAGAAAATCACGACATTTGACTTTCAGGATTGGTGCTGATTCTGGTGTGAAGAATAACCAAGGTTTAACAGCAGAAGACATTTTATTAACAGAAAAACCTGATGGTTGGCAGACAAATTTACATTTCTACAATAAATACAAACCTGGTAAGTGGAGACCCTGTACTATTAGAGGACCAGGAATCTCTCATAGTAGTATAGGTGGAAAGAGTTTTTAGACGACACAAAAGCTGGCTTAGATTTTGGCGAGTCTAATCAAGAGAATCTAACTACCCGTCTCCATAATTTTCAGTCCATTTAAATCCGAAAATGAAGAAAATATTCATAAGGATTACTAGTAAAAAGTTGATTAGTTTGGACTTTTCCTGCTACAGAATGAAGAACGTGTTTTAGCTAATTCTTTAATTTAAAGATCTTTTAAAACTTTTTTTCACCAAAGACAATGTTGTTTTTCGAGGTTTATGGCAAGCATTGCAAGCAGAAGAACCAGACCGGAAGTTAATCGAACGTCTGCTGAAATCTTGGTGTAGATTGACGTCAATGAAAAATGGAAAAGTAGCAGACTTCAAAACTCTTATAGCCAATGATGTTAAAAAGACGGACTTATTGATATTGTTAGAAAAATATGAGAATTCTATTGAACTTGCATTAGCTTTGATAGGTGGTCTTGGTATGATGATCAAAATGTGGCTTAAACAAGGTTTGGTTCATTTCATCATCATCAGCATCATTAACATTATGAGAAACTTTTGTTTTCAATTTGTACTATAGCAAACGTTTACCTACCATCGTCATCATTACCATAATCGTGAGAATCATACAGATATCCTGATGCATTCTAGCACTCTAGTACACGTTTTCTTATGATCATCATCTCCTCTGCAACTTTTCTGATTAAAACATTTTTAGATTGCACAGTTAAGATAATTTCAAACAGAGACCAACATTACACAAAATTAGTCAGATTATGTTACCTTGTATTCATCTTTCTGATATTTAAATTATAGGTCATGATAAGAACTGTGATCCTGATTTCATTGACATAGCACATGAACAATTCAGTCCCCAAAGGTCAGTTGCACCTCAACCATTGTTAGCTGCCACGTGGGAAACCAACAGATTAAGTGCTGTAGAAGTTTTGATGGACTTAAAACCAGATACTAATATTTTATACTCAACTAATCCCCCAGTTATACCACCAAAACCTCTTTATTTTCATGTAAGTACCACAGACAAAAAAAAAATTGCTACGAAAACATTTTTCTTATAACCAAATCTAAAGAATGATGGTCAGTGTATAGCTAGAAGGACCAGATCTATATATAGTCAGATAGCATTTACTCATTATTCAAAGTGGAATTGGCTGTGTGCCACCAACAGAAAATTCGTAATATTGAATTTTTGTTTTGGAAAAGAACTCCTACAGAAGCTTTGAATATTTGCTTTTCTATTTCACTCGCACATTTTAGAATAAATCTATACAGATTTAAGAGCTAGAACATCCTTTCTTACTTTTATTCATTAAAACTCTTCTGTTATATTTCAGTTATTTGAATGTGAGTACAGACCAAGTGATGTTAGAATTATTGAAAGAATATTCAAAGACTGTGATTTTACTCTCAAAAACTATGATGGTCAAACCATTCTATATGAACTAATAAAAAGAAACGAATCGGATTCTTTGTTCAAATTTGTGTTAAGTAAAAACATCAATCTGGCAGCAAGGGATCTACTAGGACGAACTGCTCGTGATTTCGCCGAGGAATTTGGGAGACTAACGCATCGTAGATATATCGATGAACACATTTTTAAATTAATTAAAACAAAACAACTAGAAACTATAGAAAAGATGGTAATTCATAATTATAACCATTTACACGACATCAAAGATAGTTCAGGGAAAACAACGGAAGAATACGCCAAAAGACACTCAACCAAACAGATTCAAGATATTGTAAAATTAACCCTAGATGTCCAGGTAAACCTTGTATGAATGCTAAATTCCATATCTGCCTTCTTCATTATCAATGTTTACTGAGAACCAAGAGTATCATGACTTCTGTTTATATCATTTTGACTGTTTAAAGATCTCAAACGATTCTCAGTCCAAGTAACATATTAATGTAAGTCACACATCTCTTCGATTCCATTGGTAATTGATGTATTCTATGTTACAGAAATATTGTAGACGTATATTCCAAGCTGTAGAAGAAGATATGATAGATGATCTTCAGAAACTATTATCATGTAAAAAATACGCTGGTGCCAAAGAGAAATGTGGTAAAACCATTCTTCTGAAAGCTTTAATGTTCAAACGACGAGAAATGGTCCTCTATATTATACGGAATTTTGATTTTATTATCAATGAATGTGATAATGTGAGTAGACGCTCAGTTTTGTGCAAATTTGAATCAATGGCTTTCAGTGAAATAATTGTAGTCATTGTGTTGGGTAAGGAAAAACTCTTTTGAGCTTGAGAAACAACATCATTTTTTTGTAGTTATGTATTAATTTTCTTATTTGTCTGTTCCTGATTTTCTTATCTTTTTTTGCCTTAAATGGCTACGGTGTCATTGCCTTGGATGTACCCTCATACCATTATGGAAACGACAAGCGTCATGGTTGGCACTGGTATCCAACGGCTCTGCAGAAAAATGATTGTCAACTTCATCAAACAATACACCTTTTCCACAGAAACCATTTTACATTTTTCTTTCAGTTGGGAAGATCTCCCTTACATTATGCCAATCTATTTATGGATGAACCGGAAGTAATCGATGAACTTGAAAGGCATGGTGCAAACCGTGATTTAGCGGATGTGGTATGTTGGATTTCTGTTGTCTCGTATTGGCAGAATAGCCTTAATCGTACGAATAATTCGTAATTATATTGATATTGATTTTTAATTGTACTGATTCGTCATTTCTTCATTGTATTGATAATCCTTCTTTTTATCTTATTGAAGATCTTCTTCGTATTTTTGTCATAGTTTTTTTGTCCTGAAGACTTTGCGATGCTATCTTTAATTTCAGAGAGGAGTGAAACCTATCAAATATAGTCATAAAATCTGTGGTAACCAAGAATACTTGAATTTAATCAAACAGGTTGAAGATCTACATCTAAACATTTATATTCACGAAACACATTTCGATTCACAATTCCGACATGCTATACAGGTCAGTCATGGTTTTCCTCCACCATCTATTCAAGCCCTTAGATTAATGCGTTATAGTATGACATCTTCATCTTTGTTTTATGGTACACAATCTGGTACATTACCTGTAGGTTGATGTCTATTTCTCTCAACCCATTTCCAACGAAGAATCTATGGTTGATATAGATGAATAAAATTATTTCTATTCCTATTATCAGGAAGGTGAATTTGATGCGGTACAAAGACTACTCAGTGATGCTTTACCTCATGGTGATTTAACCAGATACAGCTCTGTTCTATTTGATTGTATTGATAATGAACAAGGGGATATTGCTGTTTTTCTCATTATGAGTGGTTTTAAAACAGATATATATAAACAGGTAGGGACCTATGAGTTTTTGGAGTGTTTTTTTTTCTCTACTTTATAATGCTTGACTTTATTCATGGCTCCATTATTGGACCATCTGCTGATACCGTATTCACTAACTTGACTACTATAATATAGCTATATTAACTTGTGTCCACCTTTGTCGAAAGTAACTATTGAGTCGATAGTATGGATATGAATATACATATCTATTTCAAAAGTTAGAGACGCTGCCATGGGGTACATGGGGTACATGGGGTACATGGGGTACATGGAAGAATTACAAATGCTTAAGCCATGAAGGCAAGGATAAAATGCTGGATAAAAGTTTTCCTGAAAATAAAGAATAATTATGTGCATTTAACTGACCAGTCATATTGTATCATCGACTTTTCTTACAGTATAATAAATGTGATCCAAGTAATCCAATGTGTGCCATGATGGAATGTGGACATGTTATGACGTCATTTAAAGAACGGGCCAAACGAAATGGGTGTAAAAGAGTGATCCATCTGATGGAGGAACAGAAAAAGGTAAAATAATGTGAACAATTTGAATAAAACAAATATTGGATTATATCTAGGTTGCCAATTAATATATGTTCCTTAATCATAGTGCTTGGTACTGAACAGTTGCTACTGACCTAGCAAAATGGTTCATATATGTACCACATCCCATCTTCATTATAGCAGTTAGGAACAGAAAACTATTCAATTAAATATATTCGTATTACATTTCACAACTCTGAGTAACAAAATAATCTGGTACATTCATTATTGGTCAATTGTCACAATCTGCTACAATTTTATGGTCCATATAAATTTCAAATAGATAGAGAAGGAATCTCAGTAACCCTTTCATATATTTCTGTTTCAGGAATCTAAAAAATCCACCAAATTATGATATATTCTGTATCTAATATGATCCGTATTGGTATAACATTCCTACCAATGGAACCGGAAATACATCAGCTGTAACGATAGTGTTAATTCTGCACACCATAGTGTTTCCAATAAGGGCCGAAATTTATAGTTATAATCGAACCATGAGAAAAGGACCATTTTTACGACTTGTTGTAGTCATTGTTATAGCATTTCCATTGAAGAACTTTTTTTACCTACCTGTTCTGCACTTTCATTGATTAATTATGACTTTTCTAGTTATTAAAATATATATTTATATAAGGTTGGGAGACTGCTTTCTTTGACACCTACCCAATCTCGCGCTTTTGTCTCGTTAGTTATTTTCTCTTTGTTATATACCAAACCTTGGTTTCCTTGGTCTGATCCTGGCATAGGTCTAGATAATGTCTCTGGATTTTCAACCCGATTCCCATGGTTGCAATCTAATGACGTTGAGTATCAGAAAAAAGAAACTAAATTGTTATTTATAATATAGATTTATAGATTGCCCTTGGTGATGCTTCAGATCGGTTGGCTTGAATGTGAACGTTAAATATCCCGCTGCAGAACAAAAGCAAACAGTATCGCAAAATTGCCCTCATTGCACATTATGTTGCCTCTGCTCGACTTCATAAGTTCAATCAAGAGTAGACAGGTAGTGCACAAAACTACAAAGTATTGCAAGTGAAAATATAATATTTCCCGTATATTAATAAAATTGTATATTATATCTTTATATACCAGTGTCATTGGGTTTCCTCTATCTCAAAAATCGACAGGCATCTTGTTACTTTTAAACAACCCTATTATCTTCAGATTGCTAGCATACAAATATCATTCGGTTACGAAATTCCTGAAGTTTTCCTGAAGCATCGGCGTACGCCTTACCGTTTTCTATGAGAGTACATCGCCGAGGCATAAACCTGGTAAGTAAGATCTAAGCATTAGCGAAGTATCTTACAGTAAGTCTGAACATTCAAATTGTTATTCGTCGATGACAAAACCCATTGCAATCTACAGATTTTAAAACTACATTCATCTGTTTAATGTCAAATGTACGTTTTCATTTTCCGAATAAAAATTAATATTCTGTGAGAAATGACTTGACCTTTAGAAATATTAACTGGCAGTGTGTTGATTGGCCGGCGGGAATAATGGCACTTATAATAATAAAATGTTAACAGAACCTTAGGGAAATTGATCAACTATGATACGACTATCTCATTGGATAGGAAATTCAAATGTCAACATAGAAATACATAGAAAATATTCAATATTATAAAGGTTACCGTAAATTCTACTAAATTGGCTGTATTGGAACTGCAGATTGGTATTTTTATAAACCTTGTCTAACAGGTAGGTCTACATATTTTATCATTTATATCTTCAAAATATTTGATATAATTATCATCCGTTTTCGATTTTAAACATCATAAATAAATTAATGAATAAAGTAGAAAAATAAGGCGCAGATCGGGATTTTTCGCTTTTTCTCTCGTTTTATTCAAATGGATAGTGAAACTTTGCTATAGGCCTACATAATGCTGTTGTTACAGTTTAATGTACCTTAATGCATAAAAATAGAAATTAATTATTTCAAAATATAATTACGATAAACTGGCCTTCCGTTCATTATTTTTTTCCCAAAAAATATCTTTTACCTTTGGAATACTGAAATACTGATTAGCACGCTTGCTCTATGGAATTAATTAATCATTTAACTACCCAACGAGATATATATTTCTATTTAACTGTGGAAAAGTCTGAAAACAAGACAAGTGCAATTTCTATTGTATAAACGCCAATGATTATATGTGCACAACGTTTTGATCAAATATATTGTAAATTATACACCTTCATTGTGTAAAACTATTTATTTATCAAATATTAATAATTGATTAATAATAGAATATTGTGTCTCATTAAAACAAAATATAAGAAATGCTTGATTACCGTATTTAATTTTGATCGCAAAATATTGTCTGTATCATTCTAAGATTCCGCAACAAAATAAAAAGGAATGTCTTTCGTTTCAAAACTAGCACAAAAACAATTCTATAAATTTTGAGATGATTTAAAGAGACAGGTAGGCCATTTGTTTTTTCACCGATCAATGAGAACATACTTTAGTCTCAGAAACGGGAATCTTTTAGCTAAGCCAATCAGTTATAGTGTTCAAAGTTCACCGTCGAAATACGAGCCTTCAAATCCTTGTGTGTCCAGAATTATCCGCGTTTGACTCGTCTATTTAAGATACTCTGTGATATATAGAAAAGACATATTTAGAAATAGTTTGTAAAATTCCTAGTTTAAAGTATTTTTTAAGGAATTATGCGACTTTCGACTTTTTAGTACATCTGAAAACTATTTACATATATTCAAGATTAAAATCAATCCCCCAAAATGGCACACCCGTCCCTTTAAGATTAAAATGGCATTGAAGAAAAACGTCGCCGTTTCTTTCAATATTTCATGCAATTTATCTTAAAATCTCTCTCGAGAAATCGACAAGAAAAGAAGTCGACATCACTTATTAAAAATCTCTTGATGAAATACAAGATTGATTTTCATCCTATTCTTTATCGTTTTTCATTTTGCTTTTATGAAAAAATGGCATCTAGACTGTGTTTGTATAGAAATTGATTAGATTCTTGGAAGTCTGAGATAATTATTCCAAGTTTAGAGTGTCAGGTAATTGTGATTGATTCCAGCTAATTAAAAAGACCGTCCTCAAGTACAATAAAATAGAAATCTTTTAATCTCAAATAGTTCACAAATTGAAATTCAATACCAATTTTCTGGGTTGTTATCAAAATAATAATTTATATAGTTGTGTACTTGAGCATCATAATACTGGTGGCTACTTATATTTTCTCGGGTTGGTAAATAATAGAGAACGCAGGAAAACATGGTCGATATGCGACCAAATCAAAACAGTTGGATACTTATGATCATATAAACGGAGGGGAATGTAAATTGATTTTAGAAATTTGATTTTGATTGTTGATAATTCCAGAACCCGGCTCATTATCGAGAGTAATGGACTTAATCAGCTACACTGAAAACAAAACTCAACAGACTAAGATACAAACCGTTTTATTCTGAACTCTATTTCAGAGTATGGATAACCAGAGCAGATTCCAGCCAAGTTATTTTGATTTGATTCAACATAGACATCGACAGTCATTGCCCTGTCTATCCGCTTCACTGGCATCAGACAGACCTGATGATATTGAGCTAGGAGAACTTGAAGAGCGAGCTGTTGATTCCGCAGATGTCAGAGTCAACAATGTTCTGCTGTTCGGTATTCCCATAGTTGGTCTTACAGTGGATAATAAGGAACGCCTTTGTTTGGCTCAGATTTCTAACACCTTGCTTCGGGACTTCAGTTATAATGAGATCCATAATCGACGAGTTGCTTTAGGTATAACTTGTATGCAGTGTTCGGCATCTCAGCTGGAGATCCTCCGACGAACAGGTGCTATGCCGATTTCCTCTAGAAGATGTGGTCTTATCACAAAACGTGAAGCAGAAAGATTAGTGAAGTCGTTTGTAGAAGAAATTCCACCACCAAGACTACCCGACGATTTCTCTTTTCATGTGAAGCATCACTGTGGATGGGGTTGCAAAGGATTATTTCAACCGTCACGGTATAACAGTTCCAGAGCTAAATGCATTAAATGCTACCACTGCGACAACTACTTTTCACCAAACAAGTTCATTTTCCATTATCATAAGCTTGAAAGCTCTGAATATCGTCATCCAGATGCTGCTAATTTCAACTCATGGAGACGACATCTTTTTCTGACTGATGAGAATCCGCAGGAATCTTTGCTTCACGCTTGGGAGGATGTAAAGGCAATGTTCAATGGCGGCTGCCGCAAGAGATTCTCTACCTCTACAAGAAGTAGCAGCTTGGATTTAGAGTCTCGCTCACTAGACTCTCGTGCGTCTTCCGATAGCACGAATTCTCAAACGTCTCTAAACCTACCTAGTTATTTCCCAGGCCAGCAGCCACCATTAGCTCATTCAGCATTTCCAAATTTGTTCCGAGGAATCACATCTTATGGCGACTTCTTGCGATCCCTGAGTTTACCATATGGAAGTTTTCCAGCTCGTATTGGGGATGCTACTCCTCCATTATTTCCATTTTGTTCCCCAATTCCAGCATTACCAGAGCCTATTCCCAATAACAACAACTGGTATGGACGTCCTGCACTAACCTCAACAGTAAGAAGTACATACAATTCCATGTTAGACGATAAGTCTAAGGATATAATCAATCTACCAAACGATCCTCCTGTACAGATTGACTCTTTAGGGAAATATAAAGTAGATTCTGTACCTGATACTAAGGGTGTAAGTCCACCGAACGTGGAAATCAACAACACAAGTCTTATCGTGGCAACACCTAGCACTACTGTCACAACAGAGATTGAAGTAAGTCATAATATGTATTATAGTTCTAAGTCATAGATTCACTTTCATTCATGTCACAGAACGTTAGCGAAACGTGATACAAAAATTACAAAGAAGATGAGTTGGAAAACAACAGAAATCTACAATAGGCCCTATATCTTGTACATGTATATATTAATCACTCATGGATACTATTTTTGAATTTCAGAACTTCGCACCTCAAGATATATGTTCCAGTAAGTGCTTTGTTGTTTCACTATTTATCAATCAACATATTATATTAAAGTTGATAACCAAGAAATGTTCCCATCAAAATTAATACCACAAGCAAATCCACCGATTTCACCCCGGATAACAAAAATGGCTTTGTAACTTATGTACACTGCTGTAGGGGTCAATGTTTACTTGAGGCAGGAATAAAATGATATTGCTAGCTACATTTAAGATCGATTTTGAATTTTCTGTGGGGCCACAGGACGTATTCTGTTTCTGAAAAAATGATTATTATTCCAGATACAACGGATAGAATGGAAAAAGCAGCAGAGATTGAAGACAAAATTAATAAGATAGATATTTCTACTATTGATTTATCTTCTTTTAGTGAAGGTAAGATATGAACACTTCAAATACAAGCACTTGCTGTCAGGATCCATACGCGTCAGAATGCTATTCCGGAGGAAGTGTGGAGCCAATACCATCCGAAGCATCAGAAAGAGAGAGGGCAACTGAGGTAAAAAAATCTTGAAACACTAACATAACCAGTATTTTTATTTCAGTCTTCTACGTAGAGTTTTAAATAGAACTACCACGTTTTCTGAAGACCATTAATGGTATAGTTGGTTTGTTGCCTATCCTTATATAGCATATTGTTTGTGAATCATAAGTTATTTTATATTTCAGATGAATTGCAGAGAATGATAGAAAAGGCTAGATCAGAGAGAATAGAGGCTGAAAAGGAACGCGAAAAAATGAAAAGTAAGCCTTCACCAATCAGCTGCAGTGTTGTTATTATAAGATTTTAAACCAGTTTCATCATTTAAAATTTCATAATCTTAAAATGAGTTTCTAAGGGGGACAGAAATTACAATACAGACGGATATAACGTAGGGACCTGAATGTGTATTTCTTGTGCTTTACAGATTTACTTCAGTCGCAGTCTCAGAAGGACAATGGACTGAAACAAGAATTAGAGAAAGAAATCAATAGTGTCAAAGGTCGGTAATAAAAAACATAACTTCATTATTCCAGTGCAATTTCAGTAAATTTTGGAAGTTTCCAAATCAAATTCACCTTGACTGTAATCTACAGGGACAATGATGACAAACGCTAAATCTCGATTCTGTAAAACCATTAAAATAAAATGGTTCAATATATATTTCCTTTTATGATTCAGAAAAGTATCTAGCTGAAATTCAAGACGAAAAGAAGTTTCAAGGATCTCTTGAAGGCAAAATTGCTGGTAAGTAGACAATTTTGTTATAGGCCTAGTGGTCTAACAGGCTAAACTAACAGCCTACCACCTAGGCGTTCAAGATTCTTCAGATGTTGTCTTAGAACACTCCAGTTACGTTTCTAAGAATTATTAGGTAAGAGTGTTTATGTTGGGAGATGAGGCTACAGTATTGATGGCTTGAAAAACTCAATGATAAGAAACTTCAGATTGAGTGGGTGGTGGAATGGTGTACAGCGAGACCCACTTCAATTTTTGGAGCCATTGGCTTGTCCTCATTATGAAAGCAAATGTTTTCAATCTGCATACAAGTTTCATTCCTATCTAACAGAGATGCGATTTAGATTATCTCCCTTTCACTGGCCTTACCAGGACATGTCTGTAGAGCAAGTGTTTGCAAGATTAAGGCTGCTATTTATTGTTTTTGAATTTCATTTCAGACACAATGGAAATCTTGACAAGATTAACGAGCCAGACAACAGTCAGATAATACAATGTATTTAACATGGGAGGTAACTAGTAGTAATCCAACTGTGTAACGATTGAGGCTTGTCAAATATCTTGGTGGAAGCGGTCGATAACTTTCATCTATCTACCATCCTTCATTTTGGATCATTAATAGTTGTAGTGAAAATTGAATAACTTCAAAATAAAATCAAATATCTCTGATACATTCCGTATTCATAAGGTAGCAATCTACATCACAGCATGTAAAACCATCTCCGGAGCTTGTGGTTCAATAATTGTAATTGTACCAAAAAGGTAATATATTATATCGGGTGGCGCGATAACACTTTTCATTTCAGGATTTTGTTACAACCATCAGAGCTAATATGTTAACCTCATATATATGTGGATTTTAGACACCTTTTCACCTAATGACAGCTTTATAGGTTGAACCATTATGAAACAACAGCCTTTTAGAACATTCCTTGTTAAAAATTATTAAACAAATCATCATGAGAACGACATTTTCAGCAAAAGAAAATCCCAAAAAATCCCCTGCCATGAACAAAAAATAGCCTTTTGAATTTTGAAATTTTAGTATCTTATACAAAAGATGAATGACCAGCCACCTTGATAACAATTAAATAGTTTACATCTACCTAAATTAACAATGCAGATGGGCTGGAGAAAATGAAAGACAGCATTAGAGAGAAATGCAACGAAATACCACTTATACTTCTCATGGCAAAAGGAATTCAGGTGAATGATAATCCTGAATTGAAAAGTGTTTTCCTTTTTTCTGGGACACCCAAATATAAGCGGTTCATTCGAAGCATGATATTGAACACCATGAACAATATACGTTATTTTTGTGTATATGCGTCTACCTTCGTAAATTGACGACTTCTGGGTGGGTATTTATTCTGGTTATATAATATGTTACATAGTAAGCGCCAGAGAAAAACCACCTTGTTACAGGTTCCTGCTTTAGGAGAGTGGGGAGAAGTGCAAGAGATGGTTTACAGAAAGGTAATTGGGCTTGTATGTCATTGCCATGGGAGACACCCATCCCTCATTGGCTTAACAAGATGTGTGGGGACCCGTGGACTTATTTATATAGGATTGGGATTTTTATTTTTTCTGGGGATGGAGGCCCTCTTCAGGAGTGGGGCCTGTGGTAGTTGAGCCACTGTCATAGTTATAACTTTTATAACCCCTTTCATGTGTTTATGGCTAATCAAATACTGAAGCACGATGGAGTAAATTGTAGGGTGATGTGATCCGGTATATTTCATTATGGCAGCTATTAGGACTGCCCAGGGTAAGGAGATCACGAATCGATAGAAACACAGTATAAAATCCGAATGAATTAAGAACAATATGGACAGAAACCCGGTCTGGATTTACAGACAGTCTTCAGGGAAGATGAAACCAGATCCCCACTCAATAAGATAATGAAAAGGTGTCATTATTGCTGATGTATTAAATATAGAAGTTGACTATCTGTTGAAGATTTTTAATTAGGAATTAAATGTTAGAACGTCTCTAGAGGATGTGTTCTATTGTAGTGTTTTCTAATAGCAGATTAGTATTCGTATTATAGACAGATCACAGACAATCTTCTCTCAAATCTTTGCACACAACCGCTGTGAAGGAAACAATTGGTCACTGTCAGAACCCGAGTATATCTTCACCAGGGCAATATAATCAGTTTGTTAAGACTGTTGAACGCCCGCTCATTGCCTGTAGATGGTCCAAGTACATTCTTAAACATAATAAAAGCTAAATAGCAGACAATATAAATTATTTGAGTGATTCTTCTATTTTCTACAAGTGATAATGCCAAATTATAAATATATCTCATTGTAATCTCCCACGCCGTTCCCTATATATTTGTCCAAAGAATCCTACTGGTACAAGCATTAAAAAGGTTACTACATTCAAATTAGATACTCCAAGGAGCTCCTAGCAGATAGAATATCACAAGGACTCAAACCTTATCTAAATTCTAACTCCGCTTTCTTTGTGATCAAAATAGAGGCCTATGTCAAATGACTATGAAGTTTGGATTTCGTTCCAATACAACCATTCACGTGAGGTTCGAAACCCTAAAAACTAAAACCAAATAACGATGAAGAAAAAATTATTACGGGGTTTTCGGTTTAATTTTCATTTCCACCTTTCTTAATGAATAAAACTCACTGTCTTTCCAGGTGTACCATGATATACCGTCGGCGTATTTGGATTGGGCTTGAGAATACCAGGCTGTATGGTATAACCCATTTAAATGGCTAGAGTAGCAACTGTTAAACCACCAGCCACCTTTATTCTCGGCAGCACAATGTCTGGTGTGGCGATCATTGTCAACGTCTTCCGTACTGAACGCCATTTTGTCATGGTAACTAAGGGAATCACCTGCGTCACCATGGTAACCTCCAACATGTAGACGGTATTGCTGATTCTCGTCTTCCAGCGAAAAGCTGGTATACTCAGCATAGGCTTTATTTCCTTCCCAATCCCACATATCAATTCTGAGGGTATACTGTTTCTGTTTTGTCATCATATAAATTATTTCGTTTCCTAACCAGAATTCACCGTAAGGATTACCGAACCCATATTTGTACTCCATCCACCTTCTGTTAAAGCTTAACAATCCGTCGATACGTCTCTGTAATACGGTATAACCCGTGTTGTTCACCATTTCACAATAAACACTGTCCATAAACGTTGCACCAATAGGTCTTATATTGTAAACACCGCTGGTTGTATAACCTGATTGGTACAACTCGTGACAATCTGTAATTAAATAGAATACAGACAATTAAATATATGAAGTAGATCGTCAAGAACCATCGTAAAAAGTGTCCTAGACAATAACAATCCTTTAAAAGCAGGCCTTGGATCTACCTATGGCAAACACTTCTAATGTAATATGCTTATTAGAACGGAAATGCGACAGGTACGTTGATGATACAGACCGAAGGCTCTAGTAAGGATCTATATATTTGCGAAACAAGTCGTTATGAGTCGCACTAATCTTATCCTTATAACGCGAGTTGCCAAGAAACAAGTTGTCCGACAGAAAAGTCAACTAAAATAAGGAATTTGTACTTTAAATATATTTGCGGCAGCTATTCGGGCAATTAGAATCATCGACTCGATATCAATAATAGATGTTACTATCAGTCTAATGAGACCCAATTGAACCGTGAAGTTAACTCACTGACATCACTGACTTTCTGGCGCGGTTTACTGGCAATCACCCTCCGGGCCTCGTCTCTTTCAGGTTTACCAGGTGTGTTCTTCGGGGAAACACATCAATGACATGATTGCATGTATATATCAAATAACTGAGACATTCCCAACCTGACGTGACTGATTACAACAATATTCCCCAAGAGCATTCTACCACTCCTAACATAAACTGCCCTTTACTGCTATTTCATTGGTTGTTTAATTTAATTGACGAGTGCTGGTTCCAATTATTATATCACCGAAACTTCAGCCAATGCTTTTCATTCAAGAAAACCTATTTTTAATTTAGGAATTTATTTTAACCTCGAAATTTCACATTGAGCTTACATGTCATGTTATGCAGATTTAAGAAGCTGACGTTTGTTTGTTGTATGGTATTGAAGACTACTTGACGCCGGTTTATATGGTGACTGAGACGATAGCTGATAACAATCGTATGTTTCTGAGGCAATACCTGACGCCAGTTGTATTGCATCTAAAACATCCGCCAATCTTTCTATAATAAATTCTTTTCTACCTCTATCATTCTCCAATCTCGTGTCATTAATTCAATAATGACATCACAGTTATCAATAATTATGCAACAATTCTTGCCAAAATGTAGGGTAAAATTAAAAAGAAAATGTAATATTCTTGGCAAACAACGACCGCTTTTGCAGCCTTTCTAGTAATTTCCCCTGTCAGAAAATAACATTTATGCTTTAATATTACAGAACAATTATCATGATTACTGAGGGGAAAATAATTTGCTGAATGTTTTAAAGATCAAGATGTCACATCGAGATTTTCAACCTCAGAGAATATCGTCGATTAGTCAATCTCCCACTCATGGTGCACAATCAACCACGAGGGTATCTTTTTCAATGAAACATTTCCTTTAAATTTTAATGACAGAGGTAGCATTAGAGTTTCGACAAGACAAGAGAAGGCATACTGTGAAAATAAACATATTGTAATGAATAAAGATACAAACCTCTAGCTGTGTTAATAAATCTTCTTGGAAGAATATTCTCTAAGGCTTCACCTCTTATTCTTTCTTCTCGGCCGGTTCGTTCTCTAGACATACCAGTTAAAGCTAGTTTCTCTTTCAGCTGTGCGTGGTCAATCTGAACCTCGTGAAGATCTTTTTGGACGCTGATGACGTCTCTCTGGATTGCGCCGAGCTCATTTCTTACATCTGTCGTTTCTTTTTTAAGATCGTTCTGGGTGTCTTTCATCCTCATGAAGTCTCCTTTCATATTGTTCAATCTGGTCTCCATTCGAGATAGCTCTGTCGATTTGACCTGCCCGTCCATAGACTGAAAATCACCAGTAACAGTTCGAATCATTTGCCGCAATGAAGATGTGTCATTTCTTACATCATTTTGTATATTTTTAAGAAGTGTGTTGTCTGATTTGATTTGCTGAAGTTCCCGTTTCATGAGCAACCATTCTGCTTTCAGATTTCCTACAGTGTTCTTAAGAAGCTGTGCGAGTTCCTTGCCCATGTAATTTTGACCATCAAATTTGGCAGGGATAGCATCCTTGATCCGGGTTCTAAGATTATAATAATTCATCTCCAGTTCGTCTAGCTCTCTGCCCAAAGCATCTGTTTGCCTTCTTAAATTAGTAACCTGTTGAAAGAAGAAAATAAAAACCGATAAATTCCAATAAAATACCATTAGTTACGATTGACAAAATGACAAATTGTAAACACAAAATAGTCGTCTAAATATAGCTTCATTAGTACATTGTTAAACAGTTGGATTGACTTCACCAATCAATCTCTGACCAATGATAGAATTTTGTTAAAAGGAAATTAAATGCTGTTTAAAATAGCAATGTTATAAACGATGTGGAATTTGCTGTGAATGGACAATAAATCTGGTCTCTTCAGAAATGATAAGTGAAATCTATCGCCGTTCGGCCAGACAGACAAGGTGTAAAGTAACTGATCTAATGACAAATCGAAATAGAAAACGTCCAGTTTAATTGATTTAAGGTGATAGTGATCACAACTTATATTCTTTCACCGCCAGACATTGTTACAAAATAGAGTTTCAAATTGAAAATTCTTCGATTCTTGAGTTTTCTGATTTATTTCAATGTCGTTTCAAGTGGCCAGAATAAATAAAATCAATGTTCAGTGAGATATATGAGCTTAGAGATATCACCACTGGGCTTTAATGGAATATGCATGAAAATAAGTGTTTGAAAGCCAGACGAATAAACAATAATTGAGAGGTATAGTTGTATTCATCGTAGGCATCTGAAATCGTAAAAGATCAAATTTTACAGTATTTTACTACGTCTATTCTTTTTTTTACATTTTATAGATTATTTATGCATATGGCAATGTTGAGAAATATAGTAAGATATTTTGAAAAAGGGGAACTTAACCTTCTGTATCGATGGAGGACAAGCCAAGCTACTTCTAGAACGCTTGGTGCTAATATGCAAACGTTAAATGATAGATATTCAGGCTTGGTGCATAGTTGATTACTGTTGTAACTGCCAAATGGTTTTGCTTAGATAAAGGGGTCAATGCTGTTCGTTATTTTTAGTGTCAAATTGATCAAACTATTTGAATAATTGGTGTTTCTAATTAATTATCGTGTATTCTTAATCATATCATTATGTTCTTATTGCATAATAATAAAGAGTTTTAACCAATCATAAATGTACATCTATGTACAGTCTGGATAACCAAAAAAAGACTTTTTGACCTTACTTGATCGGTCACTCATTGGAACTCTTCTAATTTAGCTAATTATGAATAAAATATGGACATGTGAGACAAACTGGTATTTTTCCAAGTCATTAGAACGCCTCTACTTTATTCATATAAGTACATGTATTAGCATTTTCATTTTCATAGATGAAAATAAGGGAACCCATCTTTAACCCCAGGTTAGGGTAGACGAAATGGCACTGCTATGTCCAATAAACAAGATAATATTATTTTGAGTGTAGATTCTAAGTAGACTTGCTCTTCATGGGCATAATCTACCAAAAGTGAATTTATGATATTTCGACAAAAGTTGAAGATGAAAATACGTACCTGAGTTACAAGACTATTGTGTTCCATCTTGCCCTTGACACTATCAACTTTCATTTGTAGAATTTCACGATGTAAATCTTGACTCCAATTTTGGTGTTGTTTAATTTCTTCCAAAACGCCATTTTTCATCTGAGATATTTGAAATTTCGTGTATGTAGTAAAGTTATCATAGCCAAATTTCAATTCTTTCATTTGTCTCACGATGTCCTGGTCAGGATGCCACACGTTAAAGGAATAAGAACACTGTCCTGTATCTGTAAAGATGCCCTGAACTGCTGGTAACACCAATAAGGCTGTCATTAATCCTGGAAGCAGTTTCATTATATCCAACATGTTTTGCAGACTACCACAAAATGTAAGAAATTAAAGAATTCCTCTCAATTTCTTTGTCCAACTCAGAAGAATAAGGTATAGCAATTTGCAAAGCGTCACAGAACTCTATTAGAGACAAATTCTATATTTAATCCAAGTAAACTGAAAGTAGTCTTATAAAACGATAATAAACTGAAAGTAGACTTATAAAGCGATATTAACAATCACACAATCAAGTTATTCCAAACTATTTAAATAAAAACCCAGACAAAGAAGTTAGATGTTCCAATCAGGAAATATACCAGTCACTTACCAATCAAATATAGTAACGTCGATCTTTTAGCCGTTTCGTTGACCTGGTTTCAATCGATCCACGCAACTCTGGACCATTCTTGCACTACTTCCGGTTGTCAATCTGGTCTCTAAACAAGCGAACTCAAGTAGCTAGAAATTTACACTATTTTGAATACTAGTATGATTGCTGGATATTAACACAAGAAAAACAAATCAATGCAAAGCTTTTCTTTCACCGGGTAGGCCTATGTAGGTTCTGTTTCTGTGCATTTTGGACAGTTGTAGCAATGTTTCTATAACTTCTTCATAGGTTCCTTCCGACTTGTCTCGCTAAATACGTTGATTTCTGTGTTTCTTGTTGATTTTTTCTGAAACAATCGTTTTAAAGAAAACTGTTTCTGGGCTGTGTGATAACATCAATTAAAAGTCACTACTTAGTAATTATTCCGTTACTTGCTCTAGATTCCCACGATATTCATATTCACTCATACTGAACTAGCTTCAATTGAAACAATGGTCTTGTATTAACAGGAATTGATCGAGTTGATATCTATCCCATCTCTGACACCACTGTGGATCTCTGGGTGTATTCTAGGCATATTATAGTAGCAAAATAACAGGTAATTTAACAGCAATCGTAATCAACTGAGCCACATGAATTATTCACAGTAATTTCTTCAGAATTACAGATAGCACGCTACTAGTTCCGTTCTCTATCAACATAATAGATTCGATAAGAAGGTAATTGTAAACTCATTACCGTAATTTCAGGTAGGAAAATATCCTTTATCACAACATATCACTTGTAGAATCTAGTAAGGGTCATTATAGGAAATTCATATATAGAGAATGGTCTTTTTACAAGTTGGGTTCCTATCACAGCATAATATGGCAATCGCGATATCAGGACATTCATAAATGAGAACAACATATAACTTCTAAAAACTTTTTGAGATGATTATAGCAAATTTCAAGAGCTAGAATCTTGTTTTTGAGCTGTTACAGTAGAAATGTGAAATCTCAAAACGAACTGCCGAATATATTTCAAAAGCACTAAAAAAAATTGACAAGAAAATTAGACACAGATTTCTTTTTCACAATTTTAAAGACGAAAACAATCTTGGAAGTTAAAAACGATTCTTGTAAAAAGTGCACTATATAAAACTCTCAAGTGATAGCATAATCATGCTTCTTGTTTTGTTTCAGAGGAAAAATTATTTCAATTCCAATATGTTACAGTATCGTTCTTCAGATCACTCTGTCTCTTTTATTGAATCGATCACAGACAATACAACCTATATAACTGATTGATTTATAAATAGCCAAGACACTTGGAGAATTGGGGAAACACATTAAAGATGGGGTCCTGAAATTTTGTCCAGTTTTTAATTGGGCGTATTTTCAAGCAAAATTCATATACATTTCGAAATCAGACTAATATAGCCTTAGACACTTGGGAATTCAATAGTAATGGTTGATAAATGTGCAAACTCGGCCGGACTGACTTTCCGACTCTCAGTATTGTGAACAGGTTATCAGAAACTTCTTGCCCAGAGGCACAAGAAAAATGCTTGAAAGGTGGGGGACGGACAAAAATGAGGGATTTATCACAGTCCTGAGGCGGTGTGGGGCAATGGCCCACCCTCAAATACGCCACTGCTCTTGAATCCTACTACTAGTTATAGTCCTGCAGATAACATAAAACAAAACGGAGATTAACGACTTATATGCACCAAAGTAGGATAACAAGATAATTGCATTACTATTTTCTTTCATTCTAACTATCGAGGGAGACAGTCTGTAGAATTAAGGTTTCGATCTCGTCCCACAACTCTAAAATTTCTTATCAGAATCAACCTGCGTTGAAATTCATACAGACTCAGGTATGGTTAAAAAGATGTATTTATTTTATTGAAAAATATGACAATTATAACTTTGACATTATCTTTGAAGGATATCTATTTTTAAGAACAGATAAAAATGAGTCTAATATCTCTACATATTCAGAATAATGATATTTCAAATGGCCAGCATGTTTCGAATGATCCCATATTTTATATTTTAAAATCGGTAGTTTATTCGTCCAAGTATTCAACAATTCACTTAAAGCCTTATAATCACTCATCGGGTCGTCTTTACTGGCAACAACAAAAGTTGGTACAATCCATGGGTTCTTGGCAAGTAATCTGAAATACTTATTGTAAATTCGCGCCGTACAATTGTTAAACAGATAATAATATAATAGAAAACTCGATTTGAACGCAATTTTAGCAAAATTTCCTGTTAATCCAGCACCGGTTGCAATACCCGTTATCAAGTTCGACAACTCTCCAATGGTTATACTATCCCAGAACACACCTAGTGTCTTTTTCTTAATACTACTCGAGACATTTTCCTTTTCAAAAGAAGTGTAAATATAAACAGTTAAATAAAAGGCACCAATCGAAAATGCATGAAGGATAAAATGTTTGTAGTTATCAAATCGTGTTTCCAACAAATTGTTCACTGATTTAACAAACTCGGATGCTTTCTGCGGCCACAAGAATGACACAAGTCCTCCATATATCACTAACGTATCGAAACCACGGCCATGATAAAGTGATTGGTATTTGGCAACTTGATCAGGTTTAGCTGCGTACCAGGGAAATATAATTACAAGATTATCAACTTGAAAACTTTCATTGAATTGTGTTTCCATGCGGTTTATAGTAAAATGGTGTAGATAGTCGGTTATTTTCTCGCATTTAACATTCTCCATGGTCACTAAAATGTAAAACGATAATCAACAACAACATCAACTAGACCTTATAGATCTTACAATTATTAGGTTTTAATATAAGATTATATGCAGCTACCCTTTCTCCTCTAAATAAGCCTGTTCAAAAAGTTTGCTACATACACCAAGCTAACGATAAAACGTTTATTACCAAATTAACCAAAACTAAATTATAAACTTTATAATAATTTTGGTATAATGTTGCTAAATCATAAATGATCCATAAATTGATTGTAAAAGTCATCATCAATCCGACTCAAAAAAGCACAAAACAAAAAAAAGAAATTTCTATAGTTCGTATTCTTTAGAGCCTCATTTCGTACAATCAGCAACCACTAGTCAGCGAATGTGATCCGCCATATTCTATTGAGAAGGGTCAATGCGGCTTTATTTGTTTCGCTTTGAACGACACGGATTAAAACAGAACATCTAAATATTTGTACTTACTCTTCGAATTAAAGGTCTTGTATATGATAACCTGTACGAGTGTATTATAATCCTTGCACCGATGACATATTAGTAACAGGACTGATAAGGATTGTTGGGCGAGAACGGTTTGGACTTTGTATCAATACAATCGCAGCGTATCTTAAAGTAACTGAAGTAAGTAATGAAACCAATCTCGAACCCAAATTTAATGGCTAGTGTGTTTTCCGAATTAAATTGATAATTGACCAAAATAATCTAAGACTGGTGTAAGGATTGATAAAAAAGAAACACTTTAAGGACTAAATTACTTTAATTGACCTGTTTACTGTTTATTAACAATAAATTGTGAAATTGTCCTTTCCTATGCTTAACGATTAAAAAGCGTTTAAAGTAATACTTTGATTTAAAAGGTATATATATTTAAAACATGGTGACAATTGGTAATATCTAACGATTTTGATAGAATCCCACATCTTAAAGGGGCTGTCTAGAAGACCTAGGCAAATGAGCTGCTAAAATTAAAGAAAACCATGTACCAAAATCTAGTGAAATGCGTTCTTTACCTTATCTGAAAGTTTTAACTAAAAGGTTTTAACGTCTCTATGTTTTTTGTCGGTGATGGAAAACTGGTGTGGAGCCTACGGCCAAAAAGTAGAGAATTATGTCTTATCAATTAAAAATATCGAACCGTTTTATCACCAAAACAAGTTTAAACTGCTTGCCTAACAATTAGTACACTTCATCTGCCCTTAATAAATTCTTATCACTTAATTACATGATAATGTTTTTGATAATCAATTTCAGACACTTGTGGGGTTTTTTTCACTACAAACAACAAAATTATAGACACTATGTTACGAGACTTTATTTCACGCATATACTAAATGTGATACATCATCATACAAATACATATATCTGGATTTCTTATCATCAAAGATGAACTTGATGAATGAACTTCGTAACGACACAAACAACAAATTAGAAACATAACGAACACATGAACATCTTAAACCAGTTGACTGTTATTCGCATTGTGCATTCGCATTATGATTACACGTAGTGAGGCATTCTGTGACGTTTCTAGGAAATATCAGGTAAGGGGGATCGAGCAGGGGCTACAAAATTTTCCAGGGGAGCCACAGGTCATTCTTTCACTCTGTAAAAAAATGAAAAGTGCATACCCCCCCCCCCCCCCTCCTTTCCCCATAGAAACGTCACTGAAGGTATTATTATTATGAAATAACATAATATATGCATTTTATAGTAGAGTAAGAATATTTATGCACACCGTACACCTTTAAAGCATGGGTAATTAAAGCTATCGAAGAAAGCGTGGCCACTAGTTCGATTTTCTATTTTGCTAATTAAGTATCAGGGTATCGTTCCAAATGTTACGGCTGATTTTAATCGTAAGTTGGTCGTAAACGTTAAGAACTAAGATTTAGGTGTTCCACAAAAAATCGTAACTTACGTTTTCGATCAAAACAAGATATGCGCGAAAAAAGGCGCCTGGGTTAAGGTTGGCGAGAACTTGCCTCTGATTATGGCTCACCATATGGTGACACTATCTACCAGGGCATTCACCTCCCCTGCTCCCCAATTTTTTTTCTTTAATAATTAAAGCAAGAACATAGTTACAGAACACTACTATGTGACAAAACTATGTGACTACGGACGGACTACGTGCGACAAATAGATGCACAAAATAAAAAGAAGTTATTTCAACCAATTTGTTTTGAATAATTGATCATTTTAATTCCATTCTAAACATCAAAGGAAGTTCCTACGACACCTTTATGGGATGCACGTAAACGTAAACTTACGACAGGCGTAAATTCATGTCTTAATCGTAAACAACTTACGAATTTTTGTGGAACGATACCCTGGACCGCTTTGGTCCGTGATCAAATGTGATAAATATTGTTTGTAAAAAATCCCGAGTGTGCATAACTGTCTTTGACAGGCTATAATATTAAAATGTTATGCTATTGATGGACGTCTTGGACTATTGTCATGAGAATCTAACGAGCTTGTAATGATGAGATGCTGACTAGACTGGAGTTGGTGTCTCGGAATAATTGTTCTCGTGAAGAACTTCGTTTACAAAGTAACTTTGGACTGCAAACTCTCTGTTTACGACATTTACAAATACACTGAAAAAGAAAAACACACAATGAATGAGTTTCTGGCGGAGGATTCTGAAGTTTCAATTGAAAGAATGTCCGTTCTGGTAGACCTAATTCATTGTAAATTCTTATCACAACAATAATTGTCACAGTTACTAATGAAACTAACGAACAAGAGATCCTTTGACTTAACGTTCGTGTAGGCTTACTCAACACTCTCTCTTAATGAGACAAAACAGTACAATCTATCAAAAATCACTGTTTAAAATGAAATACTGCAGGACGAAACTTTCTTGAAAATCTACTATGAATCAAGCACAAGTTGTGGTTATTATTTTCTAAACCAATTCTAGTTGAGTATGGCGTAACATAACTTACCTTTCTCGTTTCTGCTGGTTTTTTATCGATGAGATTTAAGAGGTCTCCAGCTTGAACCTGTTCAAGTCTCTGTTTAAATGACGTCACACCGTGGTCACATTCCATCATGGCACAAAGTGGATTGTCTGGTGAACAATGTTCATACTAAAAATAGAAATAGTACAGATCAGAATCATGGCAGAGCAGCATGACAGTGGTGTTTCCAGAAAAATGACTGAACCACATTGTGTTGGCAGCATAAAAAAGCTCTTGTCTTGTAGATAAGAGTGACAAGTTTTTCTATTGCATTATAATCTCGTTGGACATGGCTCGTCATGGACGAACAGACATTGATAGTCAAAAATAAAGAGTCTGAATAGGTCTTCTCACCTGTTTTGAAATATCAGTATCAAAACCACTCTGTATCAGATAATTAGCAATTTCAAATTGATGAAGATCAATACATTCAAATAGCATTTTATTATATCTATTTATACCATTAAACTCCTTTAAACCTGCTGTTAACTTCTTTACTGTTCTTAGATCACCAGTCTGTAATTACAGATATAATAATATATACTAGTTTGATGATCAGCATTTTGATTAATTTAACTTTCTGCTAAAGCATATATTGTAAATTTATATTATGGGTACCAATCAAAAATACCAATAAAATATAGGCTTCTCGTGTGCAAAATGCTATGTGGATATAAGTTACATTGATTGGAAACTGCAATTTTCAACCCCGCTGCCCTCCGAGAATCGCCACCTGTACAATATCACTTAACAATGCCTAAATCAACCAAGTAACCACATTTGTGAATTGAGTTCTATAACAAAAAATAAAATCAATCTTTTTCAAGTAAGATAAAAACAATTCCAGTGGAATTTAAGGATGTTTCTTACCTTGATAGCATCCAAGAAAGTGATTTCCAGATTTGTTTCTGAAATAAACACATCTAAATCAAATTCAGCGACTTCTTTCCTTCTTTTATCAATAGAATGATGATCTTCATAGTCGGAGGGTAATACACCCGCCTGAAAATAATAAATATATCAGAACAGTATTTTAATATTTCACAAATGTACTTCATTGAACATTGTAATCTTGTCCTTTTGGTTCAATTCCTTTCACTTCGTAAGTACACTATCCTCCTACGCGTGATTATGCTGAACACTATATTTGACTCTTTGTCTGGAAATCGAAAAATGAAATCGCCCTCATGACAATGACTGTAGAGCAACGCTACTGGAGATAATTCCCAAATAAAACGCTTTCATTAAGGCTTCTTCTGGGTTGGACTAAAACACTTACATAATCCTTGGCTTTTTTATCAGCACCATTGGTTTCCATAGAGGATATTGGTACTATATTGTCATCTGGTAAGAATAAATACATGTAATGTAATGGTGTTCTTCCCAACTGAAATGAGTAGAAGATTCTTCATGTTTTGAAAAACAACTATATGCCCTTAATATGGGTTATTTTGAGAAATATGTTAGAATAAAACACAAATATAAATATTTTCATAGCTTAATTCATTGCGTTTGCTTAGTTTAAATCTATAAGGTAATTGATTATTAAATGATATTTATAGATTCCAGAGGCGATACCAAAATAAGACTATACTACTTACGTTATCCCTGGTGTTAATGGTCTGTGGATGTTCTTTGACGAGAAAGGTGATGAGGTCTGACCTACGATGCAGTATTGCATGATGTAAAGCATTACGACCACCTTTATCAACAGCCAGTGCGTATCTTTTACATCTGACCAAGATTTTCTTAACATTATCCATGTTTCCCTTAGCGATTGCGGAACGAAGTTTCTTTAATGTCTCCTGAAACGAGTAAAAGAAGGGTTTTATACTTCTTTAGACTTAAATTAAATAAACTTTTAAAGGTTACCTTGATATACATTGTAGCTTACAGGTCCATATTTGTGTTTTGGAGAGCTTTCAGTTTTTATCAATAGAATATTTTTGTAATTATTTACTGATATAATTGTGT